AGTCTAAAAATATTAAAAATGAGTTTGTAAATAGTAGAAAGAGATTGTAAATAGTAATCTCCTCCTAATGTTGTGCAAATGATTCATTTTTGGAAAAAAAAAAAAAAATCTAAGCATGAGTAGCAATTAATTAATTATTGCTTGGCCAAGAAAGAATCAATAGGAAATTCTCTAAATAGTTTGTTTTCCTATGGCAGCAGGACATTCACAGTTGCAGATCGCTCGAGTCCAACAATTTGATCAGACGTGTTATTCGAGTTCAAGCTGGTAGTTGCTGTAGTTCCTTACAATGTGAATGCTTATGGGCAGAAGGATTAAGGCGAGTTGATGGCAAGAAAGCACACAAAAGTGCCAAATACATCTGATGAGCACAAGAAAGATGTGAAACTGAGCGAGGGAAAGGATGCAAAAGCTCCACCTTCTTCTGCTAGTGGCACATCTCGGTGCCAATAGTGGTTGGTCATGACCACTATGATGGCAACAATGAAAGGATCAGCATGTCATGACCCGTTTTGAGAAACCCAAATTGAATATGGTACTTCCAGTGTCTTGTGAATTCGACAACTTGAAATATTGAGATTGAACTGTAGGATGAAAGAAACAATAAGAAGATTGAGTTGAAAAGAATGTCACAAAGAATACAGGGCCAGCTATATGGTGATCTTTTGGAGGATGACAGCACTGAGGATTCGGTCTTCATGAGATACTGAGTGTTCCATCTCATGGGACTAAGTCCAGCAACAGTTCATCAATTCTGAGCAAAGTGGAAGAATAAAACATATGAGAAGGAGATATAATACCTCATCATCTGAAGAATATGAACCCGAGTCAGCTTTCTGGTAGTGATTCAGATTAGACTAGCAGCTGGAGTAAGAGTTGAAGGTGTCTTTATATGATTGACAGAAAACCTGTGAGTTGGCTATCCAGAAATTTTCTTTCTTTTTACTGCTATCATGTCTTGAAGTTATATGTGCAAACTGGGCCTTTTTTTATGGGTGAGGCAGTGTCAGGTTCAAATCCACACACTTGTGCCATGAAATATTTGAACAAGTATCTGATGCTTCTGATGCAAGAATGTTAGTCTCTTTTTCTTGCATATTGTCTGGTTATTTTCTGTTCCTAATGTTAACTGCCTACTGCACAGACAGAAACTAGTGGTATTGATTGTCTTATTTAATCTATATGAGCATTGCTGGACACATAATTGCATGCATATCAAATATCATTGTACTTTATCTAACATGCTGCACTAACTCCTTGTAGGGGCATTCTATATTTCTTGCTCTGGTTCCTTTTACTTTTGGCTGATGAACAATATCAACAAGCCAGTGAAATATTGGACATATTTTCTAATTAGCAGAACACAGGATGTATGACTTTGTGATGGATCACAGCTTTGATGATAGACCAGGACAACATATGACTCTGTAGAGTGCTAGTTCCTCCATCATGACATGCACACTGTTCATCCTCCTCAAAGTTACCTGTGAAATTGCTTCATTTTGGCAAAACATTACATTTTTTATTATATGTTTATTTAACTGCACCCTCCAGATGAAGGATTAGTTTTGGTGCTTTGCAACTAAGCATATCTCCTGAATACAAAGAAGATATGGCTTTTTGTGGTATTATTCTTGAACACAAAGATACTTTGCTTCTAGTGGATGGTGGAATGTGTTTTCTTAGTGGATTGTGGAATATATTGTCTATGTGGTAAACCTGTGTTCTGAACTTTGAGCTCTAAATTTCTATTGAATGTTGGCCATTTTAGGTGCCAAATAATTAAGTCATCTTGAATAATTAGTCAAAGCTCAAGCCTCAAGATATACAATATATGCATGATTAACTTGTCCAATAAAGGACCAAAAAGATTATGACAACTTTTTTGCAAAAGGACCAATCCCTCCTTTATGCCCCCACAGCCTCATTACTCAAACCAATTGGCATCTTTATAGGAAGATTCTCCATATTGTTCTAGGTTGTCCCTTTTTAGTGGAGAACAAACTTCTCTGCAAAGGAGTCATATCACCTCCTTTCCCCCATACACTGCATCAGTGACCAGCAGAAGTGCAATCAGGTACAGATAGCAACGGGTGAAGAGCAAAGAAGCAGCCATGAGTACCATGAAGTTTTGCCGTGAATGGTATGTTCAGTACTTGTTTAATTGGGAGAGTGAAGATCAAGTTTATATTACATTAGATGCCTATATGTTCCTCTGTCTTAATTCATCTTTCCCTGACAGCAACAATATCTTGTACCCAAAAGAAGACAGGGAGCAGAAGGTCCTCCTTTATGCCTGCCGCAACTGTGATCATCAGGTCTTTTTCATGACATTATATTTAGCCTATTTGATTTTTAATGCAAGGTTGATCTTGGATTTAGCAAAACTGGATGAAATTTGAGCTTTATTTGTTAAAATGCTCCTCCTATATCTTGTTGTGCTTTACACCATATGTATGTTTGGCAGAGACTTAATATTAGTTATCTGCATGACTTGCAGTGTCAAGATTCTTTTTCCCCTGGTCTGAAAATGTAATAACCAGCTAGTTGGTTGCTTATAATACTTCTAACTTGGTTTTCACATCTTCTCTGGGGCTGATTGATGATTCTTGTTTTACCAGTAATCTGTTCATGTTTATTGGAGAATAAACAAAACTCAATCTGTTCATGTTTATTGAACCAAATGTTTGAATTGTTCTTGAGGAGTGGTTGATTATGCGATTAGGTATCGAATTTCTGATGCTACGGGGACATGGAATGTGTTTTATATTTCAGACATCATTTTTTTTGCATGTTTTCCTCGACATTAAAGACAATAGGTATTCTCAATAGCTACAACAAGATCACTCAGGAATTAAAAGTCAGCCATAAATTGGATTGGAAATTGGAAATATCGTGTTGAGCATACGTCCATTGCGCGACTAGTGATGCCCAACCATTTATCTGGCAAGTTGGGTTTAGTAATTTACAGCATTATAAACTCTTTAAAAAGTGATCTAAGAGGTCTCTAGATCCAAATGTCTTTGTTGAGTTGATAAAATGGTTCTAGTGTTGAGTCTAATTATTCCATTCTCATTCACAGTAGATAAGCATTCGAAATGAGATCTAGCATGGTGCATGGTCGGAAGTATTAATTTTCTCGACATGTAGCATTGCACTAAGGGCAGGAAGATTCCTTTTCTTTATATGAGATGAAGACAGATTAAAATAAAATTCGGTTTTAGAAACGTCGAGGTTACATTTCAAGGTTGATCAAGAAAGGCATTATTATTTTTGTAGTTTTAGCACTTCTTTATCAACTCGAGAAGTTTTCATGCACAGTAGAAATTTTTAGTCTGATTTGATCTGCGTTCGACGAGAAATTTTCATTTTGCATTATAGTTCAAGAGTCAGGAACACTCACTTGGGAAGTAAGGTTGTTGTTGCTTCATGGATACCATGAACTTGTAACTTTTGCTGCCAGTGATAAGGAGTAGTTTGTATTTTTCTATGTTTTAGGAAACATTAAAACGAAAGTTATAAGTCAATTGTCAGAAAATAATTCTGTAATCTCCATGTTTACCCTTAATTACAGTCCTACCTAACTGAATGAGCAATCAAGATTGCAGTAATGTTGATTCATGGAATTATGAGGAACCAGAAATATTCTGCTGAGCAGTTAATAGCTGTGACTTCTTAATGTTGATACATGCAAACAAGATTGCAGTAACAATTGCTACTGCTTTATGCATTTGTTTCCATGATATATATATATTGATGGAATTGCTTTCTTATCAACACAGACTTAAATTTCATTTTTTTGGGGGCAAAAATATTGATATTATGCTTGAATTTAGGAGGTTGCTGACAACAACTGTGTATATAGAAATGTGGTACATCATTCTGTTGTAGAGTTCACACAAGTCCTGCAGGATGTGGCAGCTGACCCAACTCTTCCTCGTACCAGAGCTGTACAGTGTGCTGTTTGCAACCATCCCGAAGCTGTCTTCTTCCAGGTTATGATGCCTCCTCTGCAACTTCTGTTCAGTGTGTGCATGAATATGATCTGCTGTTTTGACAGTCGGTCACCAATTTAAGAATTAGAGAAATCCTGATTCCGGTTAGCTCAATCTTCATTGAGAGGCAAATGTATGTTATTTGGCTTTCCTCAATGTTGTTTGGCCTTCGGTTTGTATATTCGATGCATAGGCATAACAACACAGTATCTATCAGTGCTGGGAAGCAAAGATTCAAGCCCACTTGAGATATGCAAGTGATTATTCCATTACACCAAAGATGATAGCATTACTTGAGTTGGTTGTCATCTCTAACTTGTTTTAGAAAAGATTTCTATTCATTAACACTATCAGTAAATTCTCAGACTAGTTTGTCACCTCCAAAGTCTCAGTACAGTAAGTACTTGAGAAACTCGGGAAGACATGTTTGCTGGTTCAGTTCTTGTCATCCTAATGGGAGAGTGTCATTGTTTTCTTTCAGGCAACGACTCGAGGGGAGGAAGGAATGACGCTGTTTTTTGTCTGCTGCAATCCAAGCTGTGGCTACAGATGGAGAGATTGATGGGATCACATGTAAACGTTGAGGCTTGAGTTCATCTCTCGGTGACGGAACGAATCAAATGAACAGTTTTGGGTTATGGATGGTGATTAAGGAGCATTATGAATGAGGTGATGATCACAGTGGTGTACGACTCAAAACTTAAATCACTCGCAACAGTTGTTTAGATGCCTAATAAATTGTTGGGAGCATCTTTCTCCCTTCCTTCCACAGTGAAAACCTTGAGATACTGCACGGTTTAACCTATTATTTTGTATTATTTGTCCAACAATTCACTGTGCAAAGGTGAAACCACATAGATATTGTTGAGATACAGTTTAAACTACACAATTGAAACTGCACAGTTGAAACTGAGATATATTTATTGAGAAAAAGCAATGAAAAATCGTTCCAATAAGTCACACCGGAAGAAAATTAGACACTTGTAACCGACTCATAATACAGTGAAAAGGCAATGGAAATTGTTCGAATAAGCTTATATTAGCAAAGAATAATTTCTTCCTACGAAATAAGAACATGTGGTTCGATAAGCCTCTTTTTTGGTAAAATAATGATACCCCAACAAAATGGATGTGTATGATTGACTACAATCTACACCCCACCCTTGGATTGGGGTTTTATATGGGAAAAAGGTCCAAAGTGCCAAGATCCTTGAGGCAACAAATAAAAGCTCCAAAGGCCACATTGATCAGGCACATGTTAATAGATTGTGGCTGTGAGATGTACTGCTTTTGGTAACTGACATCGATACTTTGCAAGAACCTGAGGTCAAAAAGATTCTGATGGATGTCGATGCAAATGCAAAGCCTTTGTACCCAATTATTTTGCATCTTCGCTTTCAAAAGCTAGCTCTAATATTTGGTTGTAGTTATCCACAAAGCGGACGTCAAGGCCTTCTTTCACATTATCAGCGAGCTCGTCAAAATCTCTTCTGTTAGCCGAAGGAAATATGATCGTCTTGACATTGCTTCTCCTTGCTGCAATTGTTTTCTCTTTCACCTGTTCAAGTTTGGAAAACGAAATATTACGTAGGGGAGAAGCAGACATACTATGTGACAACAAAGGATGCATATAGGAACGGGTTTCATATTCACGACAAACATGAAATAGTAACTGAATCAGTGAAGACAGTCAAAATAAAAGGTAGAAAATTGAAGTATGACCAGACTGCATTCTTGATCAACTGAATCGATGAGGACAATCACAATAAAAGGGCGGTTTGAAGTTTGACCTGACAGCATTCTTATAAAATCAAAGTAGCCCTAACTTAATACGTGTTAGATATCAACATAACTATCATAGTAAAGAAATTAACAAGAGCCACTAAAAAAGTGCCATGAGCAAAAATGGACAAAGTATTATCGATAAGTACAGGAAGAAAAGATCAAAAGGATATCTCACTGTGATAGACATAACAAAATCCTTTTCCTGTTGGATGAATGAGGAGGCTTAGGTAGTTCTATGATAATTGATTATATATACATATATACCTATATTATATATATATATATATATATATATATATATATGTATGTATGTATGTATGTATGTATATGTGTATACAGATATGAATGATAAGACGGGGAAAATGCTAACAAAAATAAATAATATTAGTTCCATACCCCTCCAATCGGAAGAATTCGTCCAGTCAGTGTGACTTCACCAGTCATAGCAAGGTCCTTCTTGACAGGTTTGTTCAAGGCAAGAGATAACATTGATGTGATCATGGTGCACCCAGCACTTGGCCCCTCCTTTGGAGTTGCACCTGCAGGTACATGCAGATGGCACTTGGAAGTCGCAAAAAACTGATTCTTTGGCTCTTTCTCCAGTAATATTGCTCTGGCAACTGTATGAGCTATTTGTGCACTTTCCTTCATGACATCTCCAAGCTGACCTGTTAGATGAAGAGCACATTTTCCTTCTCCTTGCTCCACTAGTGTGGTCTCAATGTACAATGTTGAGCCACCCAAAGCATTCCATGCTAGACCCATAACAACTCCTACTGGTGTCTGATCATATATCCGTTCAGCATGAAATACAGGTTTTCCCACAAAATCAACCAGGTTTGACACATCAATGACAACTTTATCAACATCACTGCCAACTGCTTCGCCAACATTGTTTGTTCCTTTATTCGCCACCTGCCAATCCCAAAGTCATGATGTCAAATACATGGTTTGTCTATCCTCTCTTCATTTGTTTAATACATTATACATTTGTTTAATTCATGGAGTTAGCTAAAACTGTACTAGTTCATTCATATTATGTAACATATACTGAAGTGTATAGAAATCATTTCCTGCATTGGAAAGATGGGTATTATGATATTATGTTACATATGCTGATGTGTATAAAAATGGACAGCAAGAAGATGGGTGTCTTCCATGATCACAGAAATGCACAAATAAATAAGGGAAATAAGTGTCTGTCATAGTCCATCAACTTCAACGAAAAAATGCAATATCCCTTTAATAGTTAGACAGTAGAGAAGATTTGTTGCTACCTGCTCAGGCTCTTCTGAAGATTCAACAGCAGCATCATGAGAAGTTGCATGTTCCGTTTCTTCAGACACAATTTCATTTGCTTGTACACTTGAGGCAGATGCATCTATATTTTTGCCGATTTGACCATCTCCAACAATTTCAACTGCCTCTTCAGATGTACTGCTTGACTCTTGGAGGTCTATTTTTTGAGAATCAACCTCTGGTTCATTGGACAATCCTCGGCGGACAAGTTGCAAAGCTATCTGGCAAATAGTAAAACATCACAATTAGAGTTTAATTAATCCAATAAACTCATATAAGAAAACCATTGGTCACTACAGGCCCCCAAACTGCAACAGCAGCAGTTGCAGAAGTTGATACCACAATTCAGTCAGGTGCTTAATATCTATGTGGTAATGTAGCCAACTCTGAACATAAGAAATGCAACAAAGGATGCAAATTGCAAAATAAAGTTATGCTTAAAAAAGGAGCATATACATCTCAAAGGCTTCAAAAGAACACAACAACAACAACAAAGTCGTAAGTCCCAACTATTTGAGGTTGGCTACATGGATCTTTTGTCGCTCTTGAGATATGTAAAAAGCATATGCTTAATTAAGTTCAGAGTATTTAAATCTTTATTTATAGTTTCTATTTAAATCTTTTTAGGTCTTTCTCTAAATTTATATGTAAAAGAACACAGCAAAATTGATATGTAACATTTAATAATTTCAACTATATTCTATGTGGGCAATATTGGAATGTAGATATGGTAAATTGGACACATTTCATAGTAAAATGTATGCAAATATCACAAACTCCATGTCAGTTGTAAAAATTTATGTAAAACTAATAGAGAATTTATATGCATTAGGAAAGACTAGGAAATACCTCTCTAGAAAAAGGAAAGATGAATTAGACAAGAAAGACTCCAACACATCTCTTTTCTGCTATAAAGAAATAAAATATGTACCTTTCGGTATATCTTCTCAATATGTTTTTGTAGGTTTCTAACACCAGCTTCTCGGCAGTAATTCTCGATCAGTGAGAGGAGTGCAGTGCCAGTCACTTCTACCTGTACATGAATGAGGTTATTCATCCAGTTGTCATATAGCAAATAAAAGTTACGAGACTCATACACTTTACATGAATTATGCTTCCACCCATTTCATCCTATTAGCAAATATGAAATATTCCCTTGTATATCAGACACAACGGTATTAAAGTCTCAAATCTAACAGTTGAGGAAAAAAAATTCACTTTAAAGTTAAACATGTAAACATGTAACTTGAATGCCCCAAATATTTCATATCTATAAACACTGGCATGACATCAATCTAGTGAAAATTGCTGTTCACATGACATTATGATTATGTTCTGCTGTCCAATACTTAATAAGAAAAAATAACTGTGTAGTGTCTTTAAAATGTCTTGTAATGTATAAACTATAAAGTATAAACCATGCATTTTAATCCAAACATAGTGTTGAACTCACGTTCATGTGAATATCTCAAAAGTTTGGGCGGGTTTATATCTTAAAGAAAACATCAGTTATCTATTTTTCTACCTACTGTGCGAAAATGATTAAATTGTTTGATCTTGTTTGACCAACATGAAAGAGATCTAGAAGTTTGAAAGAACAAACAAAAGTAGCAAATAAGAAACCATTTCCAAGCATATCAAGACTTATTGGTGTGCAACCACAGATGGTTATAAAGGCTTTCCTTTATAACCATGAAGGGTCTTAAATTGGAATCCATGTGAATTACTTTAATTATGTATCACTCGACACAATAGCAGTTGTGTACAGTTACCTTTGACATTTTTAAATTCTAATTGGAGTTATGCATCATTTTGTGCCTTTTACTGTTTACATCAATGTACAATAGCAGTGATGATTGTAATATTGCAGTGCACATAAGACAAGAAAAGAGGTGCGGTGGGATCTTAATCAATTTATTTCTTAATTGCTCAAAGCCGAGAAATTTACTTGTGATAAAAAGTCTAGTTTATGATATAACACACAATAAATAAGTTTAATTATATTAGTCTATGAAAATGATTGAAATCAAGAAAAGGTCAAGTTTGTCAATGAAGTAATTATGCATGAGAAATATTGGGAACCTTTGAAGTATTATCATAAACCTAATCAGATGAATTGTGTTTGCAATGTATTACTTAGTTGTTCCGTTTTTACTAACGACTAGATCAGTTATTATATAGTTTTCTTAAAGATGATGTTAGAGGAGGATCATATGTATATACATTTGTTTAGTTATATAGTTTATATAGTAATGTTACAATGTCATTGGGCGAGTCAAGGTAGCCAAATTATGGTCCCCTTTTGACTTACAATAGCTTTGCCACTAATATTAAAGGTTCTGATTGTCCCTATTCTTCTTGTTTCTCTGCAATCTAAACTGTTTCCTCTTTAATTATTTTTTCTTTTCAATCTAAACTGTGTCCCTATTTTTTCTTTTCAATTTAATTACATACATATATATATATATATATATATATATATATATAATGACAGATGAAACACCTAAATAGTATAAAATGTGTATAAACATGTAAAACATTTATCATATAATATGTGATATACACAAGGTACAAAATAAATTTGAGTTGATGCATGGATACAATATAGTATTCTAGGGTTTAGAAAAGAAGTATCAACAGAGGCTGAGTCAAAACAAGCAGACAAAACACTGCCCAACAAAAACACGAGCAGAGAATATTTAACGAAATAAAGCAGAATGATGGAAAACATAGCCAAGGGATAAAGTCAGATCATACTTGGTCAGGTTTGATGCCACAAGCTTCACGAATTGTCTTCTCTAAATAGTCTCTAGCGATATGCATCTTCTCGTCAGTGATATAGCCAGCAAGACTAATAACCTCCATTCTATCCAAGAGAGGATTTGGAATCGTCTCAGTTACATTAGCTGTGCAAACAAATAGAACCTATGCATACAAAAAATTTGTGTCAATTAACATCCAGGTAAAACAATGTAAGTGCAGAAAATCTGTTAAGAACAAAATAGTACACCACACCACCAGCTATTCAGAAAAACCAAGTAAAAAGATCAGCAGAAAGGAATAATGTGGCCCTCATATTATTAACAAAGGACAGATTATAAGAAAAATGAATAATATGCAGCTGTCATATCTAAGCATGGAAAACAACAATAATAAATCAAATTTGTAAATTTCAGACTATCACATCTTCTATTGGTTAATGAAGAAAAAAATAATGAAAAGACGCCCATCCTAAGTTCCTATATAAAATAGATTTCGGGTTCACTCTAGCTTCCACTATCAGCAATTTATTTAGATATTTTATACAGAAAAAATGGTACTTGTATGCATTCACACCTATTCTTCATTGGTTTCATACCACGTACAATCCAATTTGGACAATTACTTACACGACAAAAAGAATACAAGGACATAATGCGTATAATCTAAGATCTAACAAAAGGATACATGACGTTTTATCATCCATGTACCTAAATCTTGTCTTGCATAAGCTAAGGCTCCGTTTGGGAACACATTTGAATTTTTAATGTACAGTTCGAGAAAATGGTTTCAATAAATGTGCAATTGTGGAATGCTTTGAATGTTTAGTAAGCAATAAATGAAAACAGCATTTTAAATATGCATTCATTGACGTAAGTGTTGCTTGGTAAAATTGTATTTCAAACGTCTATTGAATATTTTGTGGTAAATTTACCCTTTAACATTTTTATTATTTATTTAAAAACGAATACATATTTTTATTTAAATAAATAAATAAATAAAAAATAAAAAATGTATGTATGTAATCCTATAAAAAATTTCATATGGCCCAAAAATATATAATCATATAATAAATTCACAAATAATCTTTAAAAATAAATAAATAAAATTTCATATTATAGAAAATATAAATCACATTGGTTTCTCATTGACAATATTGTACTTTTAGATAAAGTTCTAGGGCACTTTCGAAATTTGAACAATTATATTAGCATCTTGCAAATGCTGAAATGTTAATGCTACCATGAAGTAATATCAGCATTTGAACATTTTCGATACAACATCTAGGCCGGATGTGATTTGAAAAAAATTAACCAAACACCAATTTACAATATAAATGTGCATTGCATTGGGATCTCAATCCACATTTCAAATATATTCTGATTTCTCAAACGCACCCTAAACCACATTTTCAAATGCCATTATTTTAGTGCATGGAATTGTAGACACATACTCTGACAGCATCCTCACTGGTGATGCAGCTTCTTCAAACCTTATTTTTTTATGTAAACAAAATAATTTTCAAGAAAAAGTTAAATAGACAAAAAAAAAATTTTACTTGGTTAAAATACTGGTAAATCGTCCATTGAGAATTTTGTCTTGAGTTATTTCAGAAGACAATTACCTCATTTAAAAGCTGTGTTGATAATTATCTTTGAGTGATAGCAGGAAACTAGCAACACGATGTAAAATGGTAGAAGTGATCATTGGTTCAGAGCTGTCGGCAATTTTACACCCAATCATCAGAGCGAATTATAATTTGACAAGCTCCAAACAGGCAAAATGTCTTCCAACACACATGAAATTATCGGTTGGAACTTGCAAACTATATATCTACAGAAGTTAAGTGCTACATCTACTCTAATCAACATAAGGACAAAAATGACCATAATTCCTAAGAGTACATATTCTTCCTGTTACCCATACATCAAGAGCTTTATAAAATAAGCCATGCTATAACCTCCAAAATTTGAACTTGGATTAGAAACCATGATCTCATTTTAGTGCTACATTATAAGAGAGCATAAGAGCAGCTAATTTTCTGGAAAATCTCAACTAACAGGCTGTTTTCATAGAATTTTAAGTAGCATTTGGTTAGCCAATTTTTCTGGCGAAACTTAGGCTTTAAAAATTAAAGCATATGAAAAGCAACATAGATTAAAAAAAAAAGTTAAATGATTCATCAATTATAATCCTACAGAAAAAACTTGCAACTCGTCATTTCCCGCTTGAATTAGTAAAAGAAAATATCATTATAGAATATCTCATTAAAAATTAAACATAAAAAACAAGAATTTGAACTAAGGCAACAAAAGAAATTAAATTATCAAATTTTGAAGCCCTAAGCTTGTTAAATGCTGCTGGTTAAGTCCTTTCTTTATCCGTTAGATCTTCATCCATAGATTTCACTTGTTCCTTCAAAAACAAAACTATAGGTAAATCCCATCTCTCTTTCCTTCTTTTAAACTAGAAAATATCTCCACTTCCTCTTCATACTTCTATATCCACAAAAATAGAGGGAAAAAAAACAAAACCAAGAGAATTGGAATCAGTAGCAATGTAGATCATAGACGATTTGACAGGTAGATTTGATGAAATTATGCTATTCAAGAAACAATAGGAGAATAACAAATGTAGGGAAGAGGGATAAAGGGAAGAAAAAGATGGATAACTGCAAAACAGTTTCCAGAATTGATTCCAATGACAAAGTGAGCATATAGTGTAATGGAGGAATGGCTGTGCTGAAAGACAGACACTTTTGTGGTGGGAGGCAAAGATGGAATTTTAAGGCTGCAAGAGTCTGAACATAACACATTTTACTGTGGGTAGCCTTATCAAACAACAATTTGGAACAATATTTTATGTAGTCTAACATAGCTTATACGAAGTATCCAAAAGGACCAAAACAAACTAACAAAACAGACTGAAGTTACTCATTTGATATCATATAAAGAATTGCATTATCAATTCATAGTGCAGCAACCATAATATTTCACTAGTGCAGTTTTTCACTAACATTATACAATATCTTTAGAAAATTATTCACATAACAATCATTCATGGTTCGTAGCATGGAATCAAATTTTGGTTGGACCAGTCGGCACTACGAGTCCAACAATTTGTTTCTCTTATTGTTTTTTTTTTATACCGCATGGTACAGGTCGGTGTACCACAATAACTACTGATATCAAACTGATCTGACTGGTTACAAAAAGTCCTTGGTTCATAGCAACATTCACTCACTAGAATCGCATTGGTTAAGTCATTAAGCATGCAATGGCTAGTTGGCTATATTTATTAGGCCTACCTACTATCCTTCATGGACCATTGATGACTAGATATAATACAGTACTCCCAAAAAGATCAACCTAATTACAGCAGAACTCAGAAAATACATGCATTGTAAAATTTTAACTAATACATTCCATGAAGTAATCCTTAATTTAACAATACCCAAGCATGTTAAATACAAAGTAGTTCACAGACGGAAGTGCCCAACCTTGGATAAATCAATTGGAACATCAAGGTAGTGATCAAGAAAATTTATATTTTGCTCAGGGTCAAGAAGCTCCAGTAAAGCACTTGCTGGATCACCAGCATGTCCCCTTCCCAACTGTTGTGACATTTATTTAACCACATGAATTTGTTAGAAGAAAAGTTCATCTCAGCAACACCACACACACACACAAACACCCTGAGGAGAGAATAATACCTTGTCAATTTCATCAATCAGAACAAGTGGATTAGCTGTTCCTACACTTTTTAGGCATTGCACCATCTTTCCTGGCATTGCACCAATATATGTACGGCGATGACCCTGGGGAATTTGAAGCAAATATATACAGGTGTATCAATAAGCTTGATGTTGGATTTTTAACATTCGCTAACAATGTTCATATTCAAGATATAGTTGATTTTCACCTTGATTTCAGCCACATCAGCCAAGCCTCCAACAGAAAACCTGTAGAACTTGCGGTCTAAAGCACGTGCAATTGAGCGGCCAATACTTGTTTTGCCAACTCCAGGAGGCCCAGAGAGACATATAATTTTTCCTGAAGTTCAAAAAGGTTGGATCTCTTAAATAATATTATAAACAAAACAAATTCAGGAACAAATTGCTGTTTCATACTATAATGACACCAGAAAGTAAACACCATTGATTCCCTACAACAACTAGGGTGAAGCCCAAAGTTGTAAGTAGTTCATAGCAAGGTTCGCAATACCGTACCGTACCAGAGTTTCGACCTGGGCTCGGTACCGGTACGGTACGGTATACCGCTCGGTACACCCAGGTGTACCGAGCGGTATATTCAGGCGTGCCGAGCACTGTAGCAGTGCTACAGTACTGCTACGATGTCGGAACGGTAACCTATGGTCCGCGTACCGAAAGTCTGTCGGACCGGTACTGCAAACCATGGTTCATAGCAAGGTTTGCAATTTCATATCGTACCGAAGTATCGAGCGATACGTTTTGATGTACCGCTCGATATATATATATATATATAAGTAAAAAAAAAAAAGCGACGTCGCCTCGTGTTTTTGCCCGCATCGGGAGAAGAAACCGCTCCCCGCGTAAAACAAGGCAATGAGGCAACGTGCCTCGGTTTCTTTTCCCCGCGCAAAGCAAGGCGACATAGCCTCGTGTTTCTGCCCGCGCCGCGCAAAACAGGGCTACGAGACAACGTCACCTCATGTTTTTGCCAGCGTAGGGAGAAGAAACCGAGGTTTCCTTCTCCCGACGACGCTCGGTTTCTTCTCGTCGCGACGTCGTCGAGGCTTCTTCTCCCCGCGCGGACGAGGAGAAGTCGTCAACGATGCCGAGGCCTCGTTGCCTCAGATGAGGAGGAGGCGACATCTCATCTGCGGCATCCAACGAGGGAGGGCGACTACAGATCAGGATCGTCAAGGGAGAGCGGCGCTGGATCTTCAGGTTCTCCATTTTCTTCTCCCTCTTCTTTCAGCTAATACCACACGGTACGTACAGCTCGGTACGAGCAGTATCATTCGAAATTAAAATCCTTGGTTCATAGCTAAAATCATTATTGATCCAAAAGAAGTGCCATAACATGATGAAATTAATTATTAAGAATTTCTTCAGCAATCCATCCTAAATTCGCAATCCACTACTTGTAACAAAAGTTATGAAATAAAATATACTCAAAAATTCAATAAAGCATAAAGAGTATGTTTTGTGAAAAAATAGGGGCATGCTCATGAACATTATATAACATGGATGTTTTCATTAAGAATGAAGAGATAAACCAAAAAACAGAAGACATGGAGGTGAAGATAGACGTGCTATAGATTTTTAGGAAGTGTGAAATGCACTGCCGTCAACCACATATGAGTCTAACATGATATTTATAAAAAAAAAACAGAAAGACAAAAAATATAACCAATCTGAATCCAGAGAGAAAAAAAGCAATCAAAGCTCTGCCACACAAACTAAATCTTATTATTGGAAAAAATTGCATTTCTTCTTACCCAAAATGTCATGATAAGGTACAAGGAAAACAAGAACCAAAGATAAACTGGCATGATAAGTAAATACTACTTTATTCAAGGAAAAAAAAAGATTTAACCTTGTGAGGCCCCTCTCAATTTTCCAACAGCTATGAATTCCAAGATCCTCTCCTTGACATCTGATAAACCATAATGATCTTCATCCAAGATCTTTTGAGCTCGATGGACATCAAAGTTTTCAGTACTGCAAGTATTAAGCAAGATAGAGTTACATATAAACATCTTCAAAATTATATACCAAAATAAAAGAAATTCAAAACGGAAATTAAGAGAAATCAAAGTGCTAAGTTCTACAGTTAAATGCTTTCAGTTCACTGAATTGACACACTGATCAATTGCAAAGAGCTATAGAACAAAGCATAAATTGAAGTACCTGCAAACAAAAAAGAAACACATGTATAAATACAATCATATAAATTAATTGATTACTGCATATCTTTTTCAGTCAATGAGAATTCTAGATCATGATTTGGGAATAAGACATCAATTACGTTGAATATTCTCATCCCAACAATGTGCCAGGGGGAGCACAATTAAAAAAGAAGCATGAAGGTTCGTAGAGTGATTGAATAAGTTAAAAATGACTAGATGAATTTGTGACATCGGTGGCAAGGCAAATAAGTATACCACTGAAAAAGCAGAAACATCAAAGCCTTTGAAGAAGCCAACAAAATTGATGTGGTACTAATCCTACTGATCTTACCATAATGGTCCAACCACATAATGATACACAGTACACCATAGTATACGGTACCAAGATACCATACTGGTTTGAGAGGAGGTCAATATAAGGTTGGTAGCAAGATTTAGTTCCTTGCAAAAAGCATCAGGGCCCAAGGATCGTTTCTAAATACCACACCTTGTACTGATCACAGTTGGACCAGTCAAGTTTTCTGGTGTCAAGCTCTAATCAATTAATGTTGGATATGAAAATAAGAAAAAGGAAAACATTTAAATGAAATAAATTATTAGGTTAATTATTCTTCCTCTTCTCATAGTGCCTTCAAACACAAGCTCTAATCATGCCACCGCAGCCCCAGTTGTGGCATCTCAAATTCAGGAAAAGTCCTAAAATCTTGGAAGATCAAAAAATTCAAAAAGTTTCAAGTTTCAACCGGCATTTGGATATCAATTGAGACCGGCAAAAACTGCTTAATCTATTTACTTCATTAAATAACTGGAAACTGGTTCCTATGAATCAGACTAGGATGAATCGACTGATACTAGCAACATGATGCAACACGAGAAAAAAAAACTTGGCAGGGCCTATGATCAACTTAAATGAGTGACAATGACAACAAATAAGTATGAATTAGCATTGTTCATTAAAAATTGTCCAAGTGAAACAAGAAGAAAGTTGACCAAACACATAGATAACAAGAAAATGGCTAAGAAAACAACCAAGTATAGCAAGGATTGTCATGCCAACTAGAACAGAATGGTTCGTTCCCAAAGAAATGTATCAGTATGCTCCCATTTCACAAAAAAATAAATCTTTCAAAATAGCACATAAAACATGCTATGTCTATGCACAAAAAAGAGCTGAAGTACACCCAATTCAAGGAATGTATGTATAAGATGTGGCGTGGATATAGGATTTGTCTGAAATATTAATGCTTTGTAGTGAAACCTGTAATTTCCCCAAGGAAGTGATGTCAGCCAATCAAGGTAATTACGAGTTACATTAAACTCGCTAGAAACAGGCTCCAACATCTGCAATTTTGTGAGCTCTTCTTCTATAACTTGCAAAACATCGGGAGGGCATCTATCTTTATTTGGTTCAAGCCTTTCCCTGAACTTTGCTGCAGATAAATAAGAAAAAGCTATGGTTCAATAAAGTACTTGACAGTAAATGAAATCTAGTCAAAGTTGAAACATCTATTCAAGTACAGCACAATGTTGTATATTCTGAACTAACCAGTCAGTGCTGTTTTATCATCTTTCTCCATGCCAAGCTCCTATAAAGGCCAAGTTTTTTTATACATCATTAATTTCAGATGAAGATATATCATTACACATTCAACCACAGAAACAACAACCATTTTATCTCTAACATGCTCACAAGCCTCACTTTGACAAGGGAGATAATCACAGTATCAGACAAATGCCCTCACCACTGAAGTATCTATCTAATTCAGATGAAACATACAACTTTCAAGAATAATAGCGATCAAAATAGCAGAAGGTACATATTGAGGAACTTAGAGATGAGATAATCAAGTCTAGCACATTCACAGGTAACCGTTCAGCAAAATTTGGTCTATAATATTCAAGTGGTTGGATCAATCTATCGGCAGACTCATGCCTGCTGTTGACATATGGAGTGGGACATTACATATAGCAGATAAATGTTTCTGAATTAATTAGAGGCACAAATTGTGTGCTGGAATGAGAAAACACAAAGAATAAATTATAAGCAAAATAATAGAGAGTGAGAGAATTGTACAAAAGAATAGGAGCAATATTTTCCTTTTCCTAAAAATATGTATCTTCATTAATTCACAATAAAATACCCAAATAGTTCTACACCCAGAAGGACATTATCAGCTACAGGAGACTAATTATTTGTTTTTAATAAACTACTGATATCTCTAAACAAGAATCCTATTTTGTTCAGGATTAGGAAAATGGAAACAAGAACTTATTACAGAGACCAAAAAATTAATGCAGACCAGTGTTGCCTAAGAAAAAGATGGGGGGAGAAAAAAGCTAACCAGAATCAAGCAACCAGATACAGCTCAATCCAATGGTACATCAGGAAAACATAACTCCAGCAATCTAAGAAACAGAATATTTTGACTCATCTGAACTAACTGCTACAACTGACCAAACCAGAATGACCCTGATCTGAAGTTTAAAAACTACACAAACCAAGATCTAAGCCAAATTATTTGATATCTTTGGCTTGATCAGAGCTTATTATTGCCTCAATTGGGTGAACTGTTGGCACCCTGCTGCTGAATCATCAGGGAAGTAGCAACCTACCTTTTTTATTGCTTTTAGTTGCTCCGTCAACAAATAGCGTCGTTGCTCGCGACTTACTTTTTCTTCAATAGCTTTTGCGATTGATTCCTAGAACAAAAGCATTTAAAATGGAACTTATACTTCTCTCTACAAGAATTCAGAATTCAATTACAAACACAGATGTCAGATTAACATGTTGTACCTGTATTTTGCTTATCTCCATTTCTTTCTTGACTAATTCCAGTGTCAGCTTCAAGCGCTTGTATACCTGGTGAGAATATAGTTTTAAGATATTGCAACTCAGAAGAAATGAATGCAGACAGTACTCAAGCCATAAACTGATCCAAGTATGTGACAGTTTTGGGCCCTCAGAAGTTTTCATTTAGCAAATCTACAAGACAGCCCTGGCAAGGGTCTGAAGGCAATGTCTAAAGGCAGTCTCATACTTGGATCACAATATTGTACTACTAATCCAACAACAGTAAGAAAATTTTGGCAGCAAAATTCTACATACATTTAGCTCCTCAAGAACTTGCTGGCACAATAGTTTGTTAGCTCCAGATATAGCAGCTCCAAAATCTGCTAGCCTTGGGTAATTGAAATCACCAATATGCTGAATTTTTTACAAACAGAAGATATCAATTACAATTCAGTATTGTCATCAATCCTAGTCTGTAGGAAGCACAACACCCAAGGCTAAAAAATCAACGGTACATAGTTTCTAAGCCAACTAAAATCATATAACACAAATGGGAAACTAGGAGACCATGTTCAAAATAATGACAGTATACGCAATGACTTTAAATAGGGTTCACCATTTCGAGTACCAAACCCATCTCGGAGATTTATCGGTACGGTACACGTACTGGTCTATACCAGTGTACCAACATACGGTACACTAGGGCATGCCAACGGAGACTCGAGCGAGCCATGTCTCGAGGGCAAGTCGGACTGGTACGTACAACCCATACCATACCAACTTAGGTGGTACAGCAAACCTAGACTTTAATAAACCTTCACCCAATAAGATGTGCCTAGCTGTGGAACACAACTCTGATCAAGATCCAATAATCCATGAGATTACATAATTTTCTACTGCAACAGACTAAAATTTGCAAGATTGTGAAGACAGACCATATGGTACTCTATTGCACAAATTTCTTGTGTCCCGCTATCCAGGTTATGCTGTTGACATTTTCATTCTTTAAAAAGCAAAATAACTCAGATAACTTGTCTAATGCAAAGTGTTATGGAATATAATGGTTGGACATGAAGTTGAAACTTCTATAAGAATAAAAAGCAGCAGAAAAGCTGAAACACAGATAAACAAATTGAATAGACCTTGCCTGTGTATATGTTTGGACATGATCTCTCCAAAGGGAACTTGTTTTTAGAACATCTCTCAATGTCGATATGACTTCAAAGGCAGTTGCCTTTATAATGTCATCATCCTTATTATATGCTTCCTCCTGCCGAAAGAAACACATTTCAACAGAAACTCAAATTTTGTATCACGTATGAAATAGCATATGACATCAAGAAGAAAAATGTCAAGTGGAAGATCAAATTTTGATGGTTTCTCTTAGAAACATCAGAACAACCAACATTGTTGGACTTCCCATCTTGCTTCGATAAAAAGAAGATCAAAGTAAATCAGAAACCTTACTACTACCAACAATTCCTGTATGATTCTGACAACAGTCGAGGAAACGATAGCAGGTTTCAACTTTCCACAGCATCAAACAAGAAAATTAATAAAACATAAAAATTGCATTGATGCTATCAGATGACTAGCTTATCCAAGAAATGATTATCAGCTAATAAAAAAGATTAATGAATTAGCCAAAGAAATAGAAATAACAACGAGCAGGCACATTCTGCTAATAGTAATGGATGTTCTCAAACGTACATACATTTTTCTTGGCCAGAGTCTTTCAACCTATGCAATACATATAAACCAAACCAACTAGAGACCAAATGCCACTGGCTTTCTTGCTTGATATTAAAACAGTAATGTTCTTATTTCATCATTTAACAGCAAAAGCAATGTCTTTTTTCCTTTTTTTTAGCAGGAAAGCCATGCTTTTGCAGTAAAAAGAAAAGATAAGATACACGCCTATGTTTTGCTTGCAGGATTACTAATTCTAAGCAGTTTTGGCCTTCCGTAATAAGTGTAAAATCTCTAAAATGCCAACTGAAAAGTGTGATCAAATGATTCTGAATGTAAGAGGTTAAGATTTGTGAGAAAAAAAAAGTCCAGCTAAATTGAGAAATGAAGTAATGTGAAAGTAGGCTAGAACTAATAAATGAACACTAGATGCCGTTACTACAATATGAAAATGTCATCAGGAGAGCAACAAATATCACTATCAAGTTCCATCCAAGATTAAAAACAAATAAGAAGCTAATTGATGTACCTTTAGATGATCAACTTTTACCGTAAGTGGTTCCTCATCAACCTGCATAATGTGTTTTTTTATAAAAAGTCATAAAACTGAGCACCCCAAGCATGTCAATTTTACAAAAGGAACTCACCATCTCTGTGATCCGCAATCGCCGGTGACCTATGAGCACTACTTGATCCCCTTGTATGCTAGTTATCTGTGAAAACAAGCGCCAGACAGCAAGAACATAAGCAGATGGCATACAAATTATTCCACCACATAGCCATATATACGTGTTCTAAACATATATACCTGGGCGAGGGTCCCAACTTCATGCAGACGCTTAAACAGTTCCTTTCCCTTAAGATCATAAACACTTTTGTCTGTTTCTCCTGATGCAACATTCACATCAATTTCTGGTTCATCCTTAAGAAGAAAAGCACCAGCATATGCCACTGATCTTTTACGATTTTCCACTAAAGCCGCTAACAATTTGGGATCCTGCAAAGAAACTTAGAAAAAGATCCATGAGCATCTTAAATACATGATCTATCATCTACTAGCTAAGATAAGACGACAGCAAATTCAAGCATCTAGGCATCGGACAACTTCAATAAAATCAGAGTTGAGGTTGTCGAGGTTAATATAGGTGGCTTTAACACTTTGGTATATAGTTAGTTTTTGACAGATTTTGACCCTGATTCAAAAGCACAAATATCCATAAGCACAATTTTAAAAAATTGGATAATCAAATTCAGATAAAGTTATGGATATGTGATGGATAAGCATTTATATAACCAAAGTCATTCCTAATTTAATAATAAAGACAAAGTTGGCAAAATATAATCTGGCTAAATTTCAGCCCCACTTGCCACAACATGCAATGGCAGAGAGAAAATACATGTTGACTTGAATACTTGATGACTGACATCATTCCAATGTTCCCTTGACCTTATGACCAGCAAGTATTCTCATTTCAAAAGCAGTATTAGCTATGACGTGACACACTGATAGCATTTTCCATGCCAGAAGGCACTCAGCAGAACACCATTTCCCATTAGTAAATTTTTTATATTAGCAAATATAGCAATGCCTTGTTCCATCAGAAAAGGGAAGAGACGAGGCTCAACTTTTTAACAAAAATGAATTATTTTTGGTATAAATTTGACACTAGTTCCAAGGTACGCATTGTTCAAGTATCAACCTTATTAATTTATTATTAGGTACAGGAATACTAATGTTGGAAGATTAATATCTTAATGAGTGGCAACTTATGAGCCCCTGACTCACAGAGCAGGAAGTAAAAATGTAAACAAATTAACAATAATTAATGAAGATTAAAAAAACACTTATCATGCAAGTGTAAAACTTGCATAGGGAGTCCACATTTGAAAACCTTATCATAGAAGCATATCTGCTTTCAGTTGTTTCTTCTTTTTTTTTTTCTTCATCACAATTCGAAATAGTCTAAGGTAAATTATATGTGATACATGCCCATATTTACAATTACATATATCATATCAAAGCAATACAAACCAAATTTACTGATAGAGAAAAAAAATTATGGCAGGCTGGAAACCAAGCAGCCAAAAACAACCAATTTATTTAAATAATAGATCAATTAATCTAATCCAAAAATTATACACATTAAAGATAAGCAATAACCACTGATATCAAGAGATGGAATCATGGAACTGCTAAAAAATAATTTTCTTAACTGCAAATGCATCATAAATTATTCATAACAAACCAGACTATATAGACAAGGAAGCTAAATTATTAGTCCTCGGAATCTTATAGTTATCTGATGAGAAACTGCTGCACCTTCACGTAGATTGGCATATAAAACCCAGGAAACAATGGTCTGTGTGGCAGTGGTAATGCTATAACCTGCTTCACAATATCATCAATGAGAAAATTTGTTAGTCTAGCCATCTAGGCATACACCAGTACAATTAGTAAATAAGATGATGAATTCTGAAAATGAGCAGATACAGGTATAAATTGTGATCCACGCATAAATGCCAGGAACTCAGTTTCAGTATAGGGCACAATCAATAAATCAACATAGGAATACACACATGTTAAACAAATCAAACAATAACAATCAAGGACGATAACAAAACCATGGCATACTTAATTGGCATTATAACTTCTACACAACTGCTTGTTTCTGTGAGTATAAGTTGAAGAAACACGAACAAATTGACCAAAAAACATCCCAAACACAAAAGCATTTCTTTTTTCAACAAGACACATGCAGCTCAACAAAGACATGATTGACCTAGTCAGCATTATGCACAGGTTCATTTCAGTAGATACTCCCTTGCTTTAGGTTAACAAAAAAGGCTGATACAGTAGTCAAGGTTAGTTTTAACCTATTGTTTTTGGCTTAGATGAAACTTGTCCAGTCTAGGTCAGTTTCATCTTATATGACCATGAAAGTCATCATTTTGGTGACACATGCTGGTAGCAGATTTTGCACACCCATTCATACAGTAGATAAGCACTACAACAGTCTAGATCAAGTTCAGCCTTGTATAAGTTGATTGGGTCTTGAGTATGAATATGAAAATTCAAATGTCAAAAATGGCACAAAATGAGAATTAACTTTTTTTGTCTTTATTTACCATCAAGATTCAAGAATTTGAAAACCTATAAGATAATAACTATAAGATAATAGGTATAAGGGTGGTGTCTTTAGTTCTCTTACTGAAGATGTGGTGGTTGCACTAATGGAAATGCCATCATGTTGGTAATAGTGGCCAACAGTTTGGATGATAATAATGATCCAGTTAATACTGGCCATGGCGGTGATGATGGCAGAACAATACTAACGATGGAACAATATGAAGATGCCTTGGTAGCACCTTAGCAAATTCTTCCTCTCCCATTAGTGATCCTTTAGTATTCTTCTTATTGCTTCCAAAGAAACATCTTGTGGTGAAGAAATTTTCCAAAAAAGGATAACTACAGCAAAGAAAGAACTTCCTTTATTTATTCTTCTCCACATGTAAAAAGAACCATGTAATTATAATTATCTACTTTGTTAATTTGTTTGCACACTCAGTTCAGGCAATGGGCTGCTTTTCAATAGATTTCTTGACATAGTTTGAATCCGGACTACAAATCCTGTCGGTGCGTTAATACAACTACAACCCTATAGAACTTGTTAAAGGTTCCGAGGATTGCCAGTGTATGGAGAACATATTCTAAGAATAAAACCTAGCGCAATCCACCCATATCCATATCATAGGATAAAATATCTCAGAGGGAAAAAAATCAACAAGTGTGGCAGTCCGTGTGAAACGATGGTAAGATATAAGAAAACAATACCAGGCACCAAACTATTGCCAAAAGAATTGAAAGAATTTGCTTCTATTTATTGGAAAAACACTGACCGACAAGTAGTCCTCGGGCCGTGGATTCATTGAAACAATGGCCGATGATGCTTTGGAATCAGCCTCCTCTGCGCCACCACCTTCAGCAGCGACGTTGGCAGTGGCCTCAGATTCCTCCTCGGCCTTGGCCTCTGCGAGCGGCTCCGAACCATCGTCAGGTTCCGAGCAAAAGAACGCCTTTCTCCAAAAAACCGAGCTTCCACCGCGTCGGCTCGTCAAGGACCCCAGCACACGAAGCAGCGGCGACCTCCCTTCGCCGACATTGACAGCGGCCGACGGAAATCTGGCCGAAAGCCTCAATCGCCCTTGAAAGCAGGAAGAAGAGAGCGCCTTCAACATTGGGTCACCGGGGATCCACGGCCCCAGAAACCAAGATCGACGCTTTCCTTCTTCTCGGGGGTTCTTGCGACGGATTGAGCCGTTTATTGATAGATTCCGCGAGGAATCATTATAACAGGGGCGGCGACCCTGGCAAACTTCTCGGCCAAGAAAACCCTCGTTAAACCCTTTTGTTGTGCTCGGCGGCGGAGCCGCAATCTAGGGAAATCCAATTGCGATACGGTCCGACAACTTCCTTGAAATCACAAACGCATCCGATTTTAGTTACTGAAGCGAATCGCCGAGTCGGTTGTTCTATCCCGGGTCGGAACTCTCTGAGTCGGACTTAGACGGTTGCGTGCAAGGCACCGAGTTCAGAGGCCAATCTAAAAAATCGCAAATGTAAGATATTATGTTTGGTGTCCCGGCCTAGGTAGCGAGCTCGGGTTGGCTGATAGAGTAGAGCTCGCCAGGAGTAGCCAGTTAAAATCGGGTGAGGATCACCTGTTCTGCTTCAGACGGGTTCTAACTCACTCTAGTGGTGGATCCCACGCATAACAGGCTTCTACGCAGATCGTTGGCTTGGAATAGCTCGAACCCTGTCTGGCATCGGACAGGGAAGCCGAACCCGACGCCCACATGTAACGTTACGTACCAGTAGGCGAACTACCTGATTGGCTACAAGTTAGCAAACACAATTAGTAGCAGTTGAGCCATCATACTCCACCACGTGGCCTACGTAAGCGTGTGTCCAAATGGACAGGTGCCGAAAAAACGTTGGTCGATACATCGAATTGATCCATGCTCTGGCGTCCGAAGCTGCGCCTCCTTACAGAGTGCAGGAAAAGCATATACTCCGGCGGATTATGGCGGAGGAGAAGTACAACAGGAAGAACACGGCGGTAAAGCGGATCCTTCAGGAAATGAAGGAGATGCAATCCAATGCCTCTGATGACTTCATGAGCCCTCCGCTCGAGGTGGTGATTCCCAATCCCTGACCGGAACGCTAACCCTCAGTTGCCCTTCTTCTGAGGGAGGGGTATATCATGGGAGATTCTAATTACCGGCAGATTACCCTTTTAAACCTCCTGCGTTCATGTTGCTAACTGTAAGCTTTGTTCTTAGCAATAACTTCTTCATGAAATTGTGTATTTTCATATTTGTGTCTCTCATTCGTTTAATTGGTTCCCCAATCTTCGTCTCAGCCAAATGGCCGGTCCAAAACACAAACGAAGATTTGCTTAAGCATATCAAATCGTCATCCTCAACACTGACAGCATCATGGAGTGGTATGTTCCACATTTTTATGTATATTTCCTTGCATATTTTTGGTGATTCATTCTAAAACAATCTTGTATTGGAAGCAAAGAAGGAGTTTGAAACTAAACAAGATGCACAACCACTCTTTGTTCCATCGTGTTTACACTATCTCCTGATCCATGACATGTTTATGGTGATTCATTCTAAAATGGAATTATCGTGGATGCAAAGATTATCTTCTGAACCATGATAATGGAGGCCTATGATTAGGTTTCTAATTGCACTTCATAAATTATTGTAGAAATACCACTTTTAGAAACTACAGCATATGTATATTACATATCTTTTGGTTATAGTTGCAATAAATTGGTTCACTTTATGGAAAGAAAAATAAAAATTTGCCCGTATGTGGTGTTATACAAATTCATACTGCCAGCACATGGTTTAAGAAATGATTTTAAATCCACTTGGGCCTAGGTCTCTCCACTCGAAGGCTTGTCGTTACCTGCTTGCTGTTATGTCTAAATGCATAAAAGGCACATGGAGTTGGGTCTGGAGACCAATTCTTATATATGATGGGATAAAGCTCCTTGTAGTAGTAATTAGGTTCCTTGTTCCATCAAATTTGAGATTTACTACCGTTTTAGGGATTAAAAACCCAATTCACATGGCTATCACATGTGGTAATACTACAGATGGATACTGACATGCCATGGCATGGACAGACCTAACTGTAGGTGGGTTAAATGCTATTTTTCTAAAACCATAAGTGGGTGAAATTGGCTTTGATCTCAACCTGGTTTCTCCCATATATTTTTGCACCCTATTTTGTTGCTTGCCTCTAATCTCCCACATTTTTTGTTAATCAGAACTGTATCTGTTGCCTTATTTGCAAAAGATTATGTACTCATTGTACTCCAGCTTATGTTATTATTTGGCAGCAATTGATGCAGTCGAGCACCAATTTTTCGTAGTTTGCTCTTATTTCCTGGTTAGTATACTACACGAGCTTTGTGCTATGCTAATTTGCTTTTGTTTATAAACATGTCATTTGGCATTTTACCTACTGTGGATAATAATTATTCTGTTGGAATTTTTGCCTAAATTATGGATCTACAGTTCAAATTTTGGTTTGTGGAATGTACTCATGCTCTTTACATTTGGACAAGTGGTTGATCTTGCTTCATGAAAATGTGGTAATCAAGATTCTTCATCGCAAGTTTTGCATAGGAAGTGATATGTGGAGTTGAATGGGCTTATGGGTGAATGCAAGGTTTCATGTCAGTCTGATCGGTTGTTAAAACTGATACCGGACCAAGATTTTAATTTCTTGGTAAATATTTGCGTCATGTTGATTGTCGCTTGCAACTTGTACATGAGCCAGTTTGTAAATTGTAACTTAGCCTATCAATCTTTTTTTTTTTTTTATAATAACTCTTGGAGAAAAGAGAAGAGATTTTTACTTTCTTTCCTTTTGGATGCAAGGTGAGAAATGAAGGGAAATAAAATATTTTCTCATGTTTGGTTTGATAAAATTAGAGAACAGAAGAGGAGAGAAATTTTATGTAAATAATAAAAATAAAATCTTTTCCCTCCATATTTCGCCAATTTCCGAGAGTAGCCAAAGAAGTGCTAAGGACCTTTCGAGAAATCTAAAAATAAAATGTGCCACTTAATTGCTTAAACTGCATTTATATCATATTCAATTCACTATATGTCCCCATTTTTTCACAAACCATCGGTCTATTAAAATACTTTGATTAATGCAATTCTTTTGTCTTGCTTTTTCAGTTCGGACAGCCTCAGTAGCCCTAATTGCTTTCATGTCAACAAAACCTGATGGGGCATTAGGGTCACTAGAATACACAAAGGAAGAAAGGCATGTTCTTGCCATTAGGTCACGGGAAGCAACTCCCAGATTTGGCACCCGAGTGGCAGAAACTCATAGATGATGTATACTCTGATCTCTTTTGAATTAGATTTTATCACTTGATCTGATGTTAATGATCCTTATGTTGATTTAGACTTAGATTCATCAGTACATGCTTAGCAAACCACCAATTGTTCCTCAGCTGTCATTGCCATTAACCATCAATGAACAACCAATTGCTCCATTGAGTGAGGACCCTCAAACAAATCCTACTAGTTCAGAAGCTGTAGCACCAGTTGAGCGGCCCCCAGTCCCAGAACCAGATAGGCCTGTAGAAGATGTGAGGGAACTTCATTTAAATGCCGCAGCTGGCCACATAAGAATAAGCTTCAGAGTGAAGATTTCAAGAAGGGTACCAGCAACAGTCACGAATGAGCAGCCTCAGAGACGTGAGGCAAGGGTTCAGATGCCACTCCTAGATGAATGCTTGTTCACTTTGGCTGCCATCGGGTTGGCCACCGGTATCATGGTAGTCTTAGTATAGAAGTTTCTCAAGTCAAATGGGCATGCTCAATACATGGATGCATCATAGACTTGTATGTCTTGTGGCACGGCTTGGTCATGATAATATTTTGCAGTATAAAATGTTTGTTTCCTTTTTTTCTGACTTTTGTTTGGTTAACATTGTTTCTGGCCATAGATGGCATGCATATTTTTTTCATATTCCACGAGTCAGTGGATAATCTTGTTCCCTACCAACTCTGTTCTAATGAATGCCCTCAATGCATTGTGGTGGTAACAATGTTGATGCAATTTTACATGGTCTGCTTAATATGTGATGGATTTTCCAGCTAATTTTACAGCTTGACAATCATAAGTTGATTGATGGTTCAAATTGCTATTCAGAATGTTCAGTAAATTCCAGCCAGCACTGAGAAGAGAAGATAGCACATTGCTTTGCTTTCTTTCCCTCCAGTAACACTGAGAGGATCAATCTGACTCCGTAAAAAACATCATGTAAGTGTTTCAGTATGAATTAATGCAGAGGTCAGCACAAAAATTAGTCATTGAGGTAATTTTCTCTTGCTAAGCCAACCATTAGAATTTGTTTTCCAGTACACATCATGAGCTATTGGTAAGTAGTGATCTTCCCTTTTCTTTACCCTTGTTGGTCTCCTTTGTAATCAGATCAGTGTTTCTTTTTAGGTTGAAAGAAACTTTGTGGATGAAGAAGCCAACTTGCACTCATTGGCAGAGTCCTCATTGAGCAATAAAAGACACCTCCAGATAGGAGCAGCAATCATTCAAGCCACCAAGCATCATGATTTGCTCACAGAGAGCAATTCAAAGAGTCTCTGATGCCCGTCACCTTAATATTGTCGTTTTCTTGGTTTGCTGCTGACCATTCTGCAGGTTTCTGCAAGGCTAAGTCTTTTCCTTGTAGCTTTGGCTGACCGTCACTTGTTGAACAGCAATGACAACAAACAATCTGCAGTTTGCGTTCTTAGATCAATAAAACAAAACATTCTTAAAGTCCAAAAATTACTATGTTGATTGCTCGTGACATTATGTAATTCACCTGTATAGTGTCTCCATTTTTTTGAAGACAATAACACAGTATGTTGGTATGATACAAATAATGTCTAATCTGGTAGCTCTCTCCAGCACCAGTTGCTCATGGCCAACAGGAGATCCAGACTCATCAATGTCAAACCTTAAACGATGAGTCTTGTTTCACTTGGATACTGTGAAAGAAGATGTTCTTACATGCATTCTATTTCAGAATTACTCTTCAACTTGGCTGCCACTTCATCTGTGTGTTTAACTAAGCTTCATTTCCTCCCCAAAGCCCTGGCTAGATTTCACTAGGTCAAAAGTCTGGGATATCCTTTTCTTGCACCAGACATAGGGGTTGAAAGCTTGGTAACTTGGCACAAAGTTAGTCTCAGCAGTGTGACATGAAGTGTCATCGCATGTGTTAATGCGACCCAAAAGATAGTGTGAAGTGTTAGAATTGGGTGAGAATGAGTGAGTGAGTGAGAGAGAGAGAGAGAGAGAAACATAAATCTGGTTAATTAATAATCCATGTCCAACAAAATGCTACACTAATTTCATTGCTCATATACTTCTTAGTCATCAAAACATTCATGATTGCTTGGTCCATTCCAGTCCATCCCCTTAAACTAATATATTGAGCAGATGACGACCACAAAAGCTTCTACAAGCTGCTACATCATCATATAGCTTGATCTTTAAGAAATCTCACAGAGAAGAAGAAACAAAGTAGTCGCACATCATCTCAACCTTGGTCACAAGGGAACATCCCCTCATCCTAATCCCCAGTGAGCAAGATTTAGGCTTCTTTCTCCCTTGTTTCCACATACATCAGCAAACATGTACAGAGGTGCTGCAACATCTTGTATCTTAATCATTCGAAACCCATCATGGTCCCCTGTAGGAAAACACAAAGTGAAGGTGGCCGACGACCCAAGTAGTTCTCCTTCGACAAGCCAACCTAGCTAGAAGATGGGAATCCTTTTGTCACCTCCAATATTGAGCTGGAACGGGGGAGGAGATGAAGGCCCATGAATCAGAATACAGTGAACCGAAAGGGAGAGGGAATAATCCAGGGTGTTCTTGCGAGGTCACGGAGGTGGGGCGCGGGGAACAGCGGTGGCCGGTGCCTCACTGTTCCCTTATTTGATCATGTGCATGCATGTGCAGTACGTTGGGAGAACATGATCTTTGACGCAAGCAAACCCTGTCCTCCCCACCTCATCACTCTCTCTCTCTCTCTCTCTCTCTCACACACACACACACACACACGCAGTTATATATAAGTTTCCTTGTGTGTTACTGGGTCGTGTAGCAATCCGTCCTCTTCTCTCTCTCTCTCCATCTTTCTCGCTCGCTCTTTCTTTCTTGAGACATCCATTTACATCTGCAAGCCAAAAAGATCGGCGACGAGACGCCGATCTCAAGAAGGTTTGCTCTTGGTTCTCCGGCCATGCATGCCCGAGTGCTCGGAGGAAGGAAGCAGATGGCCAGAACCAAGAGGGTTGGTGGTGCAACCGTAAGATGGACCGGGAAGCCATTGATCTCGAAGAAGAGAACCGCACGAAGCAGAAAGGCCATGAGCTGCATCGAAAGGAAGCTCGAGGTGCTGCAGGAGCTGGTGCCCAACGGCCCCTCCGTGCAGGAGCTCGACGGGCTCTTCCGTGAGGCTGCCAACTACATCGTGAGCCTGCAGGTGCAGGTGAAGGTGATGCAGATCCTGCTCGATGAACTGTCGCCGAAGGTTTCCGATAACTAGTCGATCCTCCTCCTCCTCCTCCTCCTCCTCCTCCTCCTCCTCCTCCTGCTGCTGTAAATTTGCAGTGGCAGTGGCGAAGAGTATCACGCTGTGAGCTCAATGATTCCTTTTTTTGGGGAATGTAATTAGACGTTCGTCGATACATGTCTTCCAATTAAATCGTGGACTGTTGCGTATAGAATGAGAGTTGGCTGTGCTCTGGTCATGTATTCTTTGGATTCCAGTTGGGAAAGCATGAGAAAAGATCTAAGAGTTCTATGTTTTCTTATCTATGTGCATGAGATTATAGAATCCTCTTATCGGTCCACATTTGCGAATGTAGGGTTCTTAATGACCGCATTAACTAACTAACACCACGATTAATCGACCAAAGCTCGCTGTCAAATGTCCCACGGATCAACCGCGTAGGTGTCAGGTTCGTGTTGGATTCGATGTCGGGTCGGGTTAGGCTTTTCTGTAAACCGGATCGAATCCATGTTATGTTCAATTGAAGATTCGTGATTCCAACCCAACCCAATACAACCCGATCCGGCCCAATAAGATTGGATATTCGGGCCATTCGGCCGCCAGCTTGGGTTTTTGGGTTGGCCTTTACTTAAGAATCAGAATCTAACACGATTCGTAAAGCGTGACGGACGCAGATTACGCGTTGAATGAGCCGCACAGATCCCGATTCCGGATCAATGGGTAGCTCGACATCACGTGCAACGGAAGAGGGTTTAGGGTTCCTCGGTGTCCGGTGCAATGGAGGCGAGCTCCCCGGTTGGATCCCGGATTCGAACTAAGAAGAGTCTGAATCCGGTCGACTCCAATCAACATCCCAGAAATTTCTTTCCATCTCTTCGTCCGATGGGTTTCCTCTACAACACACCTCGTGATTTGTTGCTTAGAAGGATATCGTGATCACTCTGTTTCTTGTCGAATGGAAAGGATATGTTGATCCCTCTTATTCGTGTTGAATTTGCTGAAGTTTATGTTTGTCTGTTGTCATGTCAAAGGAAAGTAACAGGATCTTTATTAGTTTCAACTTTGTTATCTACATTCCAATTAGATGCGCTTGCGAGACGAGAGGATTCTGACTGGTGTTGGCTCATGCTTTTTCTTTGAGATAACATCGTCAAGTTTCTAAAAATTATACCTTGATTGGCAAAAGAATTCATAATTAATTGTTCTATTTGGTTTGCTTCTGAAAAATATCCGACAAGTATCATTATCTGATTCATATATGATATGGATTCCACATGCATTTTGAATTGTGTATGTTCTGTAGATTGCTCTGAAGCTGTATATTTGTTTTGTCCATGGGATCAACTGATTATTTCCACATGGAGTTTGGGCTTCTCTTTAGAGCCTCTCTTTCCCTGCTCACTTTATCATGTCATCATGTTGCTGCTCTGTTTTTCAATATTGTTACAAGAAACTATTCCAGTCTGTAGAATAATTTGATTATCTTTGTCCTTTTCCTATCCTTCTCTTCTTTCCTTTTCCTATCATGACATTTTGCTCTTCAGCTTTCATGTCAAATAATGTAACTGATTGAAGAAATGCTTCAATAACACAGTATACTGACCAAAAGATTTTGGCAGTTGAGAGGAAGTACCTTGAGGGGCAACACAAGCTGGTGTATCAATTTGAAGATAAACCTCACTGCAGATCTCCTTACCTTTTCAGAAGTGTAAGCATGACAAAGTCTTCCAGTGTTTACTGATCAGGTTCACATGGGTGCCCGTGATTCAGATTTTGGTTCAATAACTACCATTTGCATAGTTAGCCTTAACTGAAACTGTTTATTCAGTTGATAGAAATATAAATAGATCTGCTGGATAGAAATATAGAGCTGAGCATTTATATATTATCATTTTGTCTTGCTTCCATCTTTCGTTTAAACATCCCTCCATCTTTCATCCAGCCATCGACTGGGTCATTGGCTTCATCTGATTAGAATCTTGGCTTGAAGTTTGTCATTGCTATTGGACAGGATACATCAGGAGTTTTTCATGATGTATAGATTCCAAAGCCATGGACAAGGGAGGTTTATTGGCACTGCAAAAAATCAAGCAAATTGGTCATCAAGTTATATGCATGAATGGCTTTGGCGCATTAACTGGCCATCATAAATTCATGATGATACATTTCTGATTTGCCATTGCAACAGGATCATGAGTTGTCTCAATCTGAAACTGAGCTTTTACCAACTATCAAGCCTCCAAGAACAGGCTGTGGATCTGTGCAACAGAAGCTACCACATGCAAGTGCAGTCCCCATCGGACTTCTCAAGAGGTCTACGTTTCATTTCTCCCCTCCAAGAACATACTTTTCTGAGTGTACAGTGGGGTGCAGAGCCTGCAGCGACATCTACATCCAGTCTCCAAATCATTATCATGTGTTTTTTGCTTTATGCCTTCCTTTTCTGGCGAGATTATGGTTGATTGAGTTGTGCCAGCTGATCAAATTGGCTCATCTGTTTCATCTTATGGCAATCCACGTTTCTGGTGGTGTGGTTTTGCCAAGTACATAGGTTTTCTGCTGCATGGAAGCCATCCAAAGAAGCCACATGGTAGCTGCATTGCTAATTCAAATCCGGCCTCATGGAGTTTTCCTCATAATCAAGAATAAAAGTTGAAAAGTCTTTATGCTGACTCAACTTGAGAATGATACAAAGAGATTCCTTGTCTTCTATAAAGATTAGTACCAAAGTTTTTTCTCCTTGGTCAACTGGAGGACAGCCAAGTATTCACTCACAGTGGAGCCCAAGCAATAAGTGATCAAGGTTAGGTTTCTTTCAAGTTGCTTGCAGGTTATGCAGCGTGGAATGCTGCTATGATAAAATTCAGACTATTATGATATTTATATTGCAAAGTGTGTGGCTTATGTGACAGTGTCAAAGAAAAATGGTTCATGTTTCAGAAATTTAAACAATTTTAATCAGTAGCAAGGTTGTTAGTAGTCATTGACTAAATCCTTCATTCTTGAAAGCCACATCTTGTGTTGTTTTTCCACCTCTTTTCTTTGCTCTTTACTCTCTTGTGGCATGACCTTCAGATAGTTGTTATGAAAGTATTTAGTTAGGCTATGAACATAATTCTGAACTCAGCAGGAAAATGACTCCCTCGTAACTTCCGGCTTCACAAGTCAACCAGCACAAGAGATGAAGATAGTACATGATGGCCTGATGATGAGAGTAACGAGCATGATCCAAGAATCCAGCGCTAATACAGCCCTCAGATTTGTTACTCTGCTTTAAGTTCAGGACTTTTGTGTCTCTTTGTTAGCCAAATTCCTGTACTTTGGAAAGAAGAACTCTGCATTTCAACTACAACTGGGCTCCAAATTATAAAAGCCTAACTACTTTTCTGTGTTATAGTCAACATGAATGATGGAATAAATTCCTTGGGATATCTTGTTGTGTAGTAGATTTGAAATTTCATATAAAGAGTAGGACAAGGTTTGGATGATTGCAACAAAGAGTCATCCTTTGAAGTTTCTCATTCTGCTCTGTATTTATCTTGTGAACAGGCTTGCAAGACCAGTTACAATTACTATCAAGAATTCATGTTGACGCTACAAACTCATATTACATAACTGATGTGATCTATATATATCTGACAGTTTGACCAATCAACCTATGAGCCAAAGCCTTCATCTTTTTCTTATTCTTATGCGCAATATCTCCCTCTCCCTTCCTTGCCATCATCCATTATTCTTTCCTGTGAGATGTAGTTGATCAAGAGATAAATTACAGTAACACCACGTTCTCCATGTTTGAACTCCCATGGAGGTGTCTTAACGCCTACATCACAATCATTTGATCTGCTCGATTCATGGCGGACGTCTCGCCACCGAGACTTCCACGGAGTCCTACTCGCCATCAATGTCCTAACTAGAATTAGGTCGGGGTGGGTCATGTTTGCATTGCTTCCGTGGATGATCAATGGATGACTCTTCTCGCTGCAACTGCTATGGGAAAAAGGGCCCTGAAGAGAACCGCGATGGCCAGTGTAGACATGTTTGAACAACTCGCCAGCCATTTGGTCCGAATGGCTCTATAAATGCCAGCCGCCTCCTTGTCAATCTCATGCTAGATAAGACACAGAGAAAAGAGGAAGATGGCATCGAAGTCCTTCTCCAAGTTCTTTGCCTACTTCTATCGTTTTCTTCTGCGGAGACTCAGAAGTGCCCATGCAACCCACATAAGGTTTCAGAAGTGGCCTCCTCTACCTGATAAGCTCTCTGGCCAAACCGTAGTTTGTCACATGGAGGGAGGCCTTCTGAGGTCTTCTTCCATCTTCCCATACTTCATGCTCGTGGCCATGGAAGCAGGAGGGTTCTTCAGGGCCCTTCTCCTCTTGCTATTGTACCCTGTGATTGCCTGTCTCGGCCATGAGATGAGGCTAAGGATCATGGTAGTGGTCTGCTTCTGTGGGCTGAGGAAGGAGAAGTTCAAGTTAGGGAGGACTGTGCTGCCCAAGTTTTTCTTGGAGGACGTCGGCATGGAAGGGTTTGAGATCCTGAGGAGGAGCCAAAGGAAGGTGTGCGTCAGCGCAATGCCCACGGTTATGGTGGAAGGGTTTCTGAGGGAGTATTTGGAGGTGGAGGTAGCGGTGGGGAGGGAGTTGAAGGTGTTTGGTGGGTACTACACCGGGTTGATGGAGAAGGACAGTCTGGCCTCAAAGGTGTTGTTGGGAAGAGAGAAGGCAAGGGAAGCCGATGTTATTGGATTTGGAGGCTATCCGAACTCTGTTCATCTTCCCCTCTTCTCCCACTGCAAGGTTAGACGAAGCCTATAAGATCTTCCACGAAGACACGACCGGCACAACCTATTACGTACTAAATCACATTTGTTTCGTTGCAGGAAGTGTACTTGGTGAGTGAAGCAGACAAGAGAAAATGGCGTGTTCTACCAAGAACAGAGTACCCCAAGCCCCTCATCTTCCATGATGGCAGAATAGCCTTTAGACCAACCCCAATTTCCACCCTCTGCATGTTCCTGTGGATCCCCCTCGCCTTCCTCCTCGCCATCGCGCGAGCTGCCATCTTCATCTTCCTCCCCTACATCTTCTCCGTCCCCTTGCTGTGCTTCATGGGCATGCACTCGAGGGTCATCACCTCACCGCGGAGCCATCAAGCCACGCGGCGCCAGCTCTACATCAGCAACCACCGCACCCTCCTCGATCCCCTCTACATCTCCGCTGCTCTCGGTCACCATGTCACTGCAACGACGTACAGTGTCAGCCGTATTAGCGAGATGCTGTCCCCTATAAGGACCGTCAGGCTGACGAGGAACAGGGATCAGGACAAAGGACTGATGAAGAAGCTGCTCCACGAAGGGGCGCTCGTGGTGTGCCCCGAGGGCACTACCTGCCGCGAACCGTACCTCATCCGGTTCAGCCCGCTGTTCGCGGAGGTAAGCGAGGACGTCGTGCCGGTGGCACTGGAGTCCCGTGTCAGCATGTTCTACGGCACGAGCACCAGCAAGCTCAAGTTCTTGGACCCGTTGTGCTTCCTCATGAATCCCTTTCCTCGCTACGTGGTGGAGCTCATGGATAAGGTGGCCACCGGCTGGATCGGTGGGAATAAGTGCAGCAGCTGCGAGATCGCCAATCATCTCCAGGGAGAGATTGGGAAGCTCTTGGGTTTCGAATGCACTAGCTTTACCAGGAGAGATAAGTATCTGATGCTCGCAAGCAACGATGGGAGTCTTTGAGAGGGACGCTAGGGGCCGATGGAGCTCCACGTCTCCCTCCCCCACTATAACCAGTAGTAGAAAAGTTACGTTGACAGCTGTGCAGACAAAATACATGTATTATCGAATCAAAACGATATAATAAACCATCAAAGTCTTTATGATCTAAATTAATTATCATCTTATAAAATATATCGGATGAACCAAATGTCACGCCCCGCGTTGCTTCTTAGAAGCACGTTTCCAACTTGGCACCTCATAATTCCATCGGTCAAAGCACGAGTGGCTCATGTTTGACTTGGGATCCGTCTCCATCGGGCTGATACTTAGTCAACCCTTGTTGACTAATTTTACCTCATCGCGAATCACTTTGAAGCCCAAACGTGCGTAGAAAGTGGGCGGTAAGAAACGCCAAGCGCTGTGCAGGAGCACGTAGGCGTATCGCCAGCCCATGCACGAGTGGATAATCGTAGAAACTGTGAGAGTGGACAGTGCAAGATGCCGTGCTCTTGTTGTTCAAGTGTGTGGGGACTCGTTGCTACTTCCATCACATCCACACATATGGGAGACGATGCGCATGCAGGTGAATCATGCGGCCGGACAATATGACAAACAGGCGGAGGCCATGGTAGACTTCCTGCTAAGTCTGGTAACATTAAGCAAACATAAAACTGCTCTTATGATCGTCTCGTTCGATCATCAGCTCCATGACGAATTGCAACGATAGATCCAATTAGATCTACTGATTCATGGACCAACTGTCATCCACAGCCCACAAGTAATCACCGCTCAACAAGCCCTCTGATTCCCATCCGACGTTCTCAAGCTCGTCATGATTCAGGGGACAAGGCAGCTGGGACTCGGCCCACCCATCCCCACCGCCACCGACACCGAGCATCTCCTCGCCACCCTCGATCATCCCGCCGCCCTGTTCAGTGATCGGAATCGAGTCCTTCGACGTCGTCGACGACGACGACGACGCAGCCGTCTCCTTGCATGCCGCGATCGCCTGCTCCGGCTGCCCGAACGAGTAGGGCGGTGGAGGATGGCCCGGGGCGGCGATGGGGCCGACGTAGGAGGCGGAAGGAAAGACGCAGGAGGCCGCATGGATTGGTTCGGGAAGGCAGGGCGTCCACCGACGCCGCGCTGCGCCGCCGGCGTCGCGTTGTTTGGCGTGCTTTTGCACCCGAGTCCTCCAGTAATTCTTTATTTCGTTGTCAGTCCTGCCCGGTAGATACCGTGCTATTTTGGACCACCTGTTCGGGGATAGACATACCATATAAGTGCGTAACACATATCGTATAGATGTATATACAGTGTTTATGTACGCTGTATGTATTAGGTTAGTATGGCTTACCGATTTCCCCAGCGAGAGTGGAGGTCGAGGATGAGAAGATGCTCCTCCGGAGTAATGTTACCACGCCGAACATCCGGGCGGAGATAGTTGAGCCATCGAAGCCTGCAGCTCTTTCCAGTTCGCTTCAGACCTGCTCCAAAGAAGGATGGCAGATCACATCAGTACGGGCATGTGGAACAGAGAGTTAGACGCCATTCTACGATCATGAATACCTTGACAAGATACATGCCAGTGATACAGAGAGTTCCATTATCTTAAAGCTCAACGAGTACAACACGAACACAAATAGGCTGATCGAGGTACGTACCTGCACGACGAGCGAGGGCATTCCATCGGCCCTCGCCATGCTCGGTGACGTGTTCGACGAGCACGATGTCTTCTTCCACAGTCCACGGCCCTCTTCTGAGCTCTTCTAGCTCCATCTCCTCGCTTGGTGGTGATTCTGCGTCCCAAGCAAGCAGCCTTTTATGGACCTCCATTCCTAATTCATGGTCTTTCTGCTTTGATAACTACGTAGCAAAGGATAAGTTTGACTGGAAGTTCAAGGACGAACAAGAGAGATGATGGATGAACGGGGACAAGATCGAAGTTATCAGATGAAAAGGATACAAGCATGGGAAACGAGGTGTGTGATGGACGTGCAGTAAGCGGCAACGGGACGAGTGTTTAGTCAACAAGTAGGGCTCAGTTCGACAAGCTAAACAGTGTGGGGAGGTCTCTAACTCTGACTTCTCTTTGGCTCTTTCCTTTTGTATCCTCATCTTCTCTTCTTCTCACCCCCATCGTTCCGCACATTCCATTACTGTTCTTGTTTTCTTTCACAACCTTCGATTTCTTCGATGTGCACATCCAAAAATATGATGGTTTTCCATGTTTTCCACCTTGACCTTTCGAATAAAGATCGTGGCCTGTCTTTTTTGCTTCTCCAATTCAATCAAACACAAAGCGAGTTACATGCGGTCGATCGCCACAGAGTTGCGTGCCTCAAAGTTTCATGAGACTTCGAATCAAACATAGAAAGCTTGAACCCACGCTTCGTGGTCTCCCTACCTCCAAAAGCGAGCTATACAAGGACGAAGGTGACGGTGAGACGAGTGACACGGAAAAGTCAGCTGTAGTAAGATTAAATGGCTTCATGATTCCCATCTTACAGTTGTGAATGAACACTCTTATTTCCTCCTGGGGAAAAATCTGGCTCTTCTTCTTTCTTTTTCCAATTCAATTAAAGGATTGCTGTAGGAATAATCTGATTCTGATACCAAATTAGAGATCAAGGGAAGGAGATTTCTCTCTATGCAAAATTAGCACGAGATAGTAGTGTCATTATAGACACTGTTTTTGCTTACTTGTGGGATGCCCAACAAGTGACTGCCTCAAAGTCTCATATCCCCAAGTCAATCACATAAAGCTGAGAACGATGGCCAGGAAATTGTGAGCGCTAGGGTTCTTCAATTATGGCCATTGGGTCAAACATAGAGAGATAAGCCCCACACGTCGTGATCTCTCTTCCTGTATATACAAATGCTCTTCAATAATATCCATGAATTATATTAGTCACTGAATTCTAAAGGTATATATAAATGTGTTGTTCTGATATCGCGTATAATTGAAATATATATTATAAAAAAATAAATATTGTCAACAATCTAATCGTGATATGATAGACATTTCATCATCATGTGATCGATACATCATCTTCACATGATTAACACTTCATCACTATATGACTTTGAATATCTTATTGTAGCGTAATCAATATGTTATCGCCTTTCGAAAGTTATAACCTTATCGACGATTCATCAAACGTCAACGAAGGCAATATTAAACCATAAAAAAATTCTTCAAATATGTTTTTTCGACTCTCTTCTAACACATTTAGCGTTTATGGTTTTGATAACTATCCAAATATATAAAATTAAAAAACTAATTTGAGATTCAATAAGAATCCTATGAATACGCCCAATATAATTTTACAAGATTCATCATCATTCTTTAGAGCTCAACTTCGGAATCTTCTCACCCATCACCACCTACGTGGAGTAAGACATTAGTTGACTCCGAATCGATGTACTAATTGTACAATCAATAAACTTTTATCACCCACCATAAGTTGTTTTTTACTTCTGCATCCAAAAAAGACCTCCACACTGAACCGTAATCAAATGGCTACGATCATGTGCATTGCACGTGAATCAGGTTCTGGTTGGGCCGAAAGCCCAATTACTTTTGGTCCGGTCCGGTCCGGTCCTGCATTTGGCCCAACCGAAACATCGACGAGCTTACGAAGGTCGAAGATTGCTATTTTAGTTTGAAATAGATTTCTAATAGCTTGATATTTTCAAATGCATTCGCAATGAGTTTTCTTGTATAGTTGTTTAGATTATAAGACCTCACTATCAACTTCTATATTTATATATTTGTAAATTTTGGCATTACATGTGTTGGTGAACTGATGTATCGTGACCGATGAGTCAGCACGGCCTGATCCACGGATCGATGTCGGGAGTCAAATTGTCAGTCGAACGGATCGCCGAGATTGATCGACCATACGTCGGGATGCTGGTGCGGGGATGTTCGTTGATGTCTCTTAGTCGGGACGATCATGCTCCGGGGGTGTCTGCTCTCTTGGACAGAAGGCCCTAGGCGCCGATCGAGATGTCAGATCCGCCTGGAGGAAGGCGCCTCTACGGTTGCGTCTCGGTGGATGACCGCTCTCCTACACGGAAAGCCCTTATCATGTGGTTGCTAACTTTGGCCTCTCGATGAGTGAGTTAGTGCTTGATTCTTTATTTTTTTGCCTCTCGCTCTTGGCCAAGTGCCGACCAAAGGTTTTTATACTACACGAGGTCGATCATATACGGATTTGACGTGACGCCCGATCCTTCAAAGGCAAGGAGGTATCTCTATGCGGTCACTATCCCGGAACACGCGAAACAGGACATACCGAGGAATGCCTCGGTATGAGTCTTGGCTTGGCGCATGAGAGTGCTCTTTTTGCTGACCTAGCGGTGGCATGGCGTGACGTCGATTGTAATGTGGCCAGGACCAAAATATCACTTATCAACATGGATCCAAAAATTCTAAATGGCATACGTCAGAAAGTTTGTAGGTTTATTTCATTACGATGACATAAGTTCTATTATCTCTATTTTGTATTTCCTTTTTGTTCTTTTATTTATATAGTGATGCATACTATCATATTTATATAGTAACGGCGCACAAAAGCAGCGATTTCTCATGAAAAATATCATATTTTACTTTTTCTTTCCATATGTTGTTTTATGTTTTCACATTTTGTGCATAGAAAATCTATGTTTTCATATACTAATTTTTTTTATAAAAAAATTCTCAAAATTATCATAATTCGATGTTGTAAGATAACTTCGTTGGATATGGATCATTGATTTAAAAAACCTAAGATAAAATTAATAATAATACATCGCATAGCTCAAACGTTACATAAATAGTGTTAGGATCCATTATCAATTATCGTAATCCGATCTGATGTGATAATTTACACATAACTTCATCGAGACATAATTGGAATTTTATAATAATAAATCAAAGTCTTTATCCGGTTTGATAGAAAAAATTATTCTCGAATGAAATTATAATCTCTTGGTTTAATGATAAAAACAGATTCGATCATGTGGATGTTGGAATTTTTGTAGGCCAATTCAAGATGAGATAGGTTTAATGAAATTATTACATACGCTTTCTATTTATTTTTTTTGTTATTTTATTTAATTAGAATTTTTATTTTGCTTTTTTAATTCAAAGATTGAAATGTCCCAACCCACATCATGGGGCATCGAGTACGTGGCAATCAACAAGGTCCGTAGGATTCCCATCATGCGCTTCCCGTGCGCCTGTAAAAAGCAGACAGGCCCATCTTATGATGCCGCATCGCGCCGGTACATGGTGATGCACCACTAAATGGATTCCACGTGCCCATCCTTCCTTTTATATGTAGCCCACCCTGCCGTCGTCGCTCCACCCCGCTTCCTCTTTCTTGTCGTTCCCTCGTCTCCCCTAGCCCTCATTCGGCGGCGATTCCGGCTGTCTGCCGGCTGTTCTGATCCCTCCTCGACCGCGCCGACGACCCCGTCCCCGTCCCCGCCCCCCACACTTCCCTCTCCCCCCCCCGCCGCGGGGCGGATAACTCGAGCGACTCTCGCCGTCTCGAACGGTTCGACAAGGTATGGGTCTCCGATGCCTCTTCTGCTCTAAGGTTAACGGTTCGTTTTGTGAATTTGTCGTACGATTTAGGTTACGAAGGATTGGACTTTTGTTTATCAGCTTTTATTATCGATCTTCCCTCTGATCATCTTTGATTGTGTTTGTCCTACTGATCATCTTCTGCGATGCCGGTTGTTCTTGACGAAATCGTGCAACTGTGGTGGCGATGTCCTTACAGCGATCAAATTTTGTTGCAGATTCAAAGTCCTTTTCTTCAATTTATTATTTCGTGTGAATTTGAATCATTTATCCTTAACAAGTGTTGGGAATTTCTCGTATGATCTTCGTCCCTTCATCCGTGGCTCTGTCTATTAGATCTGACTCTAACTTACTGTCGTAGTAAGTTCATGTAGTTTAGGTCCTACTGCTTTTGTCAGGAAAGAAAAGATCCTGCCACTTAGACAAAATTCCCATAATATTTCTAACTAATTATTAGGCATTTTGAGCCTACTCGTCTTGAAACAAGAACTTGTTAATAACTGATGGAGGGAGTAGAAATGCGGTGCCAATAGTTCTCTTGGTGCAGATCAGGAGATACTGCATACAGATATTCCCGCAACTTCCTGTTTCTTTTCATCTTTTTAATTTGTTGTCCTACTGATCAGGAGATAATGCATCTCCAGGTGTGCATATAAATCAATCTGTCCTTTTCATCTAATGTAGACCAATCTGTACAATTAACTTTTGCTATTCAGGGTTTTTGTTCATAAATATCTTTAAGCTCTGGTCTTTGTAAGTATGTGCAAGTTCGCTGTTTCGGGTACTGGACTCATGATATGTTGGACTGGTACAATACTGGTTGGTACCGGTGTATTGATATATGGTATACCGACATGTATTTGTGTATCGACATATGGTACACTAGTATGTGCCGGTGTTTTGCAGAGGAAGAAAAAGAGGGATAAGAGGAAGGGGCCGTGGAGGAACAAAGGAGGAAAAGGGAGGAAGGAGGAAGGAAGAAGGAAGAAGGAAGAAGGAAGAAGAGGAAGCGGTGGAGGAGGAAGAAAAAGGAAGAAGTATGTGGAGAAGGAGAAGGAAGAAGAGGAGGAGGAGAAGAGGTGGGAGTGTACCCGAGAAGAAGAAGGAACAACGACGAGGAAATGGCATCGTACGTGAGAAGAGGGCTTGTGTTCGCGAGCCCTAATTTGGTTTATTTTCTTTTTTTAACGGTGGATTGGATGGGCCCCACTACCTAAGGTTCGTCATACCATAGTGTACCGCTCGATATGGATGATATGTACTGGTCTGACAAAGGATCAGTATGAGTGATACATTGGTACGCCCCTATGTATCATGTATCGGTATGTTTGGTATAATTCAGTACAGTTTGGTACCTATCGTACCAATAGCTGATCGGTACATTGGTACGGATTGGTAAGGCGAATCAGGCTACTTCCTTGCTGTTTTTTTTATTATTTTAACTGGATCGTTTGAAAGGGGATAGTCCACATACTGGCCCACACCTGGATTGGTATGTGCCGCCTGTACCATACCATTTCGGGTGGTACAATAGTCTTTGAGTATGAGTGAGTTGATTTGATGGTATCCACATTACCCTATCATCCCTGGAACTAGATATGGTTATAATGTGTGTCCATAATATACCCATATTTTTATCGAAATTTTGCTATCAACATTTTCTATGGATATATGGGCTCGATTTCAACTGCTTCTTTAATTTTCCTTTCCATTCTTCTTTGATTATTTTTTTCTCTCTTTGATCAGAATGGCCAACAAACTTGTATGCAGAACATTTATGATGAACCATTTTATAAGTGACTTTCTGATCATATTGTGAATCCACAACTTGAATGTCATAGGGCAGATTCTTTCCCACATTTTTTTTGCAGATTCTCGTTAAAGATAATTTGCATATATGAATTCAATCAAATTGCCATCTTGTAAATGGATCTAGACTTTTGGAAACTGACTGAATATAATTCTTCTATTTTTTTCACTCTTTAATATCATTGACTTGTGCTCGATCATTGTTGGCAACATATATCATTGATGAATCTATATATGCCTTAAACTTGGTCCGAGTCCTTATTTGTCACACATTTTATTTGTTTATTATCTGCTTTTGAGCTAATTTGAATGAAAATAATGCTCATTTGATTTTTGTATGTGAACTTACATCTACTAATTAGCATTTATATGGTCATGGTTTGTTCAATGTCTAACCAGTTTCACTCCTATAAGACTAATATGCAACTATTAGAATTGCACACATTGGATTATCCTTTTGGGATCCATGCTTGCCTGAAGTTTTATGTTTCCAATGGTTTATATATAAATGTGCAACTATATATGCGTGAAAACTACTTTTCAAATTTTTTTAGGAGAGCAGTATAAATTTAATGCTAGATTGGTTGATCTTATAACCAACCTAGAAGATTTAGTTTGCTACAGGTTTTGAACATTAAGGAATAATTTTTAGCTGTCCTTTATGATTTGATTTGCATGTCGAATTGAAAATGTTGATGATGTAAATTTTCTTTAAATAAAAAACAATACTTAAATGAGGGATTTGTTAAATAAAAATTTTACTGTATCCTCTTAAAAAATTTGGACTATATTACTAGGTTAGCTAAACCCTAAACTTTGAAGCTTTATTTGACTTTTCTTTATTTTAATAAAGATATATCAAGTATGTGATTGGAGATATTCCTGTGAGTAAGCTTGAATAAATACTTCAGTTTGTTTATCTTATCAGGAAACTTATTTTTTCAGGTAGTGATTTGCATATGTTTTGATGATCCACTTGCTCTTATTGTCATATGGCATCGAGTATCCTGGCAGGAGAACGAAGGTTGAGGTTTTACTTTTATCATCATCATTTTTGTTTATATTTGATTATATATTGCATGACATTAGTATCATGTATTGTGCATTACTAATTTGCCAACAAACTCCATGATGGTTCTTGGATAATTTTAGCATAGCCATTTTTCAGTTTCTTGCATTCTATTAATTTGTTATTAGTGAACCTTTTCTGCTCATGCAAATGTGGACTTTTGAGCCACGAATTATTAAGAGAAGCTCTGTAGACGTATTATTTGGATATTTGGTTCTAAAATATACAGCAACAAGGATAACATGTTTTGGTTTGGGTTTGGTGGTATTGTTTGGATCAGTTCAGTTTGGCAAGACTAGGATCAATCAATAAATTATTGAATTTTAAATTGAATTTATAAAAATAAAACGAATGTGACATATAAAATTTATTATAAAAAACCTCTCAATTTTCATATTCTATTAAGTATCCAACTTCCAAAAAAAAGAAATTTAAACATAAATACTGAAAACAAAATATTAATGATAAAGAAGAAAAAACAGAGTGTACTTTATTTAAAATTGTTACATGAAAATCAATAATAATTCTATTATACAGAGACATTACTGTAGTAGATAATTCTTGTGTATATATGTATGTTTACACAAAAATTCTCAAAATAGACATGCCCGAAAATTGAAAATAACAATGGACCCCACTATGGTTTTCATGCCTTGTAGATCTTTGAACGCAAAGATAGGGACTTTCTTTAAAGAGAATTCTTGTGAGACTCGGTGTTGATTTCAAATCTTATGACATTTCCCTTATTATGATATTCATAGTCCCTCAAGAGGTGAAGAGTTATATTTTCCTTCTTCCTCATGCTTTTCACTCTCTCATGACTGTGGATGACAAATTATGAATATAACAATGGCAGATGGCAAGTTGATCAATTTGTTTTTCTTCTTTTAGTTTCTCAACTTTCATCTTATGCTATTCGTCCTTGATTGCCTCCTGTAGTCCTCCTTGATTGTCTCCTGGTGCAGTTGCCACCTCTCACTCTTTCTTTCTTTGAGGTTGATAATTTGGACAATTAGCTGGAATTGGCTTAAATTTGCTGAGTTGGTTGATATCAACTGGTTTTCATCAAGTGACTCCATTTTGGCTATGAGGTGGAGCAATCAACCAAATTGGATTGGCCTTGGCTGATATATATGGGTTAGCATATGTGTACCAGGATCTGCATTCAATAAAATACAGCACTTGCAGAAGCAGCTATCTGTAATTTGGTATATATATAGTGAGGTCTTGGTAATTAAAAATATGGAAGATGGTAACACAGATTAGTAATGTCTCTGTATAATAGAATTATTGGCTGCTTCTGTAAAAATACCAAGACCTCACTACCTTCCGTATTTTTACCAAGATCTCACTACAGCACTTGCAAATTGGATTGTGTATATATGTAAAAATACCAAGACCTCACTATCTTCCATATTTTTAATTATTGGCCACATCTTAGCTAATTCAGTAGCTTCTTTGGTTGAACGCCTGATCTGTAATTTGTATATATATGAAATGTACATGTTTAGAGAGTGAGGTCTAGTGTTGTGGTAAGGTTGCTTGTTGTGACCTGGCTGACCATAGTTCGAGTAAAAAAAAAACCTCTCCTCCACATACAGGGTAAGGATATGTACACGTTGACCTCTCCCTTATTATGATATTCATAATTCTTCAAGAGGTGAAGAGTCATCCTTTCCTTCTTCCTCACCCTTTTCTCTGTCTTGCATGGCTGTGGATGACAAATTATGAACATAACAATTGCAGATGGCAAGTTCAACAATATCTCCTTTTGTAATTACAATTTGTTTTTCTTCTTTTGGTTTCTCAACTTTCATCTTATTCTACTCCTCGTTGATTGCCTCCTGTTGCAGTTGCCAACTTCCTCTCTCTTTCCTTCTTTGAGGTTGATAACATGGAAAATCAGCTGGAATTGGTTTAAATTTGCTGAGTTTGGTTAATATCAGCTGGTTTTCATCAAATGACTCCAGTTTGGCTGTAAGGTGGAGAAATCAACCAAATTGGATTGATTCACATTCAATAAGATACAGCACTTGCGGAAGCAGCTATCTCAGAGTTCAACTAATCGACGTCACCATCTTTCGTATCTTTAATTATTATAGCTAATCAGTAGCTTTTTGTGCAAATCCATAGCTTCTTTAGTTGAGCATCTGATCTGTACTTTGTATGTATATGAAATGTACATGTTTAGAGAGTGAGGTCTAGCGTCGTGGTAAGGTTCCTTTTTTGTGACCTGGTTGACCATAGTTTGAGTCACAAAACCAATATCTCCATTTGCCTTACAGGGTAAGGATATGTACGTTGATCCTCTGTAGACTCTTTGTTGTTTGGGCCTTGTTCATTGATCTACCCTTCTATTAGATATTGTACGTGTTTCTACTCATGCCATATGGATGTGCATTTGCATTTCCGCACATAGTATGTTTAATGGAGGTGTGTTATTTTGGTCACTGAAGTTTACATGATGAGACCTTGAATGCTTAATGGTTGGTATAGTGCTCATGCATTTGAACCTTTATATGCTATTTGAAAACCTAAACTCATAAGTACCCCTTTTTCATGTTACTCGGTACTGTACCTTGTCTGAATATATTCTCAGAGCATGACCATATGTAATATCTTTTATATGCAACCTTAAATCAGCATTAAATGTTCAACTGACTTGTTCATATTTTACCTCTGACTTATATTGTCATCATGGTACCAAAATGATCTTGTTTTCTTAAAATACATCATCCGAAGCTTGTGATGTTTCTCTTTTCAGTAATCATTATGAGTAAATCTCTTGCTATGGTTATTAAATGTGAAACTCTATGATTATTTGTTAGATGGGCTTCCACTCGAAAATCAGGCATGACTATTTTGGGTAAAGTACCAAAACCCATCAATTTACCAAGTCAAAGGTAAAAGTTTTCTTATTGTATTTGAGACAAAAGCTTTTTATGCATCTTGGTGACATTTGATTAATCTTGTTGATCACCTATGAAGGTTGGAGAACAATGGTGTTGACCCAAACTTGGAAATCGTTCCCAAGTAAGCCTATTGCTTCATCACATTGAATTCTTTTTGTATTCCATGTTGTGGCCTTTTTGTAAATTTTTATGCTCAATTGAGTTTTTCTTAATAGTTTATTGACCTGAATAATGACTTCTGTTGCACGCTTTAGGGGTTCTCTTACTTGGGGAAACCGACCATCTTCGGCAAGTACAAATGTGTGGAGTTCATCAACTCTACTATCACCTAAAACTGATGGAAGTAGTGGTTCACCAAGTCATTATAGTGGTCGTCCATCATCTGGTGGAAGTGGTACGAGGCCATCAACAGCAGGTAGTGATAGGTCCCAAGACCCTTCCCCCAATGCATGGGGTTCAAATTTACGTCCATTTACAGCATCTGGATCATTGCCATCAAACCAAACACCAATGGCAGCTCGTCCACAAAGTGCAGAGACGAGGCCTGGTAGCTCTCACCTCTCTCGATTTGCAGAGCATTCAGCAGATCCTGCAGTTGCATGGGGGCCTACGAGAACTGCTGAGAAATTCGTATTCCCCTAACAGCCAGTCTGTTTAATACTCAAATTTCTGATAGGCTTTTTTCTGCCACATCTGCATATGTGCTTTAAAGATGATGTTAGAAGTATCATCTTTTTTCTGTATCGTGAATTCAGACTTGATCTTTTTTCTGGCACATAACTTTTTTTTCTGGCATGTAATGTACTTTTTAGGGAGGTGCATCATCAAAGACTGACAAGTTCTCCTTGAGTTCTGGCGATTTTCCAACACTAGGCTCTGATAAGAAGTCTGAGACACACAGTCAGCAAGGTGATTATTTTTTTATATTCTTTCAAATCTTTTGGAGCAGAAGGATTGGTATTGAGAGTGTATTAAATCTTAACCTAACATTCTGTATGCTATGTATCTTGTTAAATTGAGTTTTTTTTAATGCACTAGTGAATTCTTTTAGAGTAACAGTAGCGAATCTTATAATGATTCTCATGTCATCTTAGGACGGCTTCTTGTAGTATCTGGATGCATCGTCATTGACATACATCTTGCCTAAAAAAATTTATAACTTGTTATGCAAAATTTCTGATATTTCTCTTAACAAATCTCAATGGTGGGAAAAAAAACTCCATGTGGACTCCAAATAGTCAAGACATATGGTTTGTTTTCAAGGGTAAGATTATGTATCATGACTCTTCCCAGGTCTCATATTGGTGGGGGCCTCATGCATGAGGCCTTTCCTCATTTTCGATTTTGTAAAGTACCCTAGGGGTTTTTGTTTATACTTTTCTTCAGGTCAGAATGTGCTTGAAAGTTTTTAATTTAAGAGAGGTCATTCCTTTTTGCGGCTTTCGTTTAGGCAACTTCATATGTCGTCTAAAAAAGGTAAAGAATTCAAGAATAATAACTTGACTATGTGATTTTCTACTTTCAAATTTCAACTGATAGTAAAACTAAAGAAACATTGAACTAGGTCAAAAATTATATTAACTTTTAGTTGAAGTGAAGGAAGAATGATACAGCTACAAATGAACCTACCAAGAACAAGCTTTCCTACTATATTACAACTACAAATGGAGAGTATAATGAACTCCTTAAGAAAAGGATACTTTCTTGAACTCATCTACTTTTCAACCATGGTTTGTTGTACTGATGCGTACCGCCCGATATAGGCGGTATATACTGGTCCGATAGGATAATAGTATGTGGACCACCCTCTATCGGGTGGTATCGGTCACTTGACCTTGTATCGGACGATACAAGGTTTGTACCGTGCGGTAACGGTCAAAATTTGATCGTTACCGACTTAAACCGGTCAATTTTGCCTATTTGAGGCTTAGAAAAGGGTTTTTAAATCTTTTAATCCCTCCGCTTTCAACTCATTTCACCTAACTGTCATAGTCGTTCGCCAGCGTACAAAGGCAAAGGCAAAGGTAAAAGGGAAGACAGTAGCATCAACTGCACCGTTGGAAAGAATCAAGTTGGGCGACGAGACACCTTCGTAATCGCATTCACCAACTCGCTCAGTCCACAGACATGGTAGTGACGTGGACAGCAGTGCCTCGACCGATGATGGTGATGACGTTGGGGAGTCGATGGTCTCGTTAACAAAATTTGAGGGTGGTGCATGGATCAAGGAATCATATTTTACACATGCCACCCAAGAGTCAAATCATGGAGCTTGATGAGGTACAAGTCAAGTTTATGCACGAAACGAGAAAGGGAAGCTAGTGGATGATTTTAAGCAGATGCGACAGAGCCTACACGACGTAGACACAGAGCGAAACTCATCGTATTCACAGTTATCGTATTATGGAGAATCTTACGACCAACAACAGTATGGTGATAGTTGGTTATACTTCTTCGAGCAATAGTATGATGATCGATCTTACGATACAGAGTAGCAGATCAGTAGTGAAAGTAGAAGTTCTGGCATTCATTATGCTTTGCACCAATACATGCCACATTCATCATGACTTAGGAGCCGTCTCGGACACATGTGGTTCACGACGATCAGCCTATGATCATCACCACATTGATGCACCAATGACGATGTATTAGTACAATATATCGTTGGATCAATTTCAGGATTGGGTTCGACAAACATATCATATTGATATGCAGATACATAGGATCAAGGTCTCCGATCCATTGCCCATGGAGTCCCGTCATTCTTTTTTGATAGTAGAACTAGGTATATCCGTCGATTAATTACTTAATTCATTTGAATCTTAAAGTTTAAGTTATATAAAAAATAATCTAACAATTCAATTTTTTTTTTGTAGATAATTCAATATTAACGGAAGGATGATCTAGAACGTATCATAAAGCTACTCCTCAAAGTCCGAAAAAGATATGTAATACTATTTTTTTTAATTTACATTATTTTTGCTAAAATTATACTAAAATTATATTTATTTCTAACTTAAAAAATCCTAATCTAACTTTTTTCTATTTTTCAGGTATTTTTGATGATTTTTTAATGATTTTTGGTGTATTGTTGGTATGTCTTGGTACGTACCATATCGAGAAGGGCTCAGTACATTGGTACGGACCAAAATTGCAATCCTTGTTTTCAGCGATAACCTGATTCACCAGATTTTAGTGTTTTCATTCTAGTCTTTTACCAAATTCAACCTTGATGTAACTGCATGAAGCATTTTTCTTTTATTTGTGAAGGGTAGATCTTTGTGTAATGTTCTGTTATAACTGTTATATGTTTAAAACTTAAATAAACTTCTTAAGTTGTCCAATATTTGTTTCAGCCAGTTCTAATTCAACTACTGATCTAAGCACTTCATAAATGATCGTTCTTTTTTTTTTGTTGGGTGCCTTCCACGTATGCTGTGCTTAGCAATGGAAGTTCTCTACTTGCTTCAGCAACTATGTAAAAGCATATTGATAAAGACCTTTGCTTAGTTTGTATAACTTACAAGAATTATTTTGATCTCAGAGAATTAGTGTGGTTAACAGGAGTATCCAACTATCCATAGTATGAAATTCTGATGAAGTACAATGCTGAGGAACAAGTTTGGTGAGTGAATATAAGTGATAGATAAAAGTCAACAGCCAGTCATATTAATGGTTAGTTCTGAATACTTTGTCATCCAATTCTTATTGGTGGTCCTATTAGTAATTTGGTACTCACTAGCAAGATATGAAATACCGTACCGTACCGGTGTTTTGAGATTGGCTCGGTACGATACGGTATGGCGTACTGGGCGTACCGAGCGGTACACCTAATTTAGGTGTAAAACCCTCTGAAAATACCTGAAAATAAAAAAAAGTTAGGATAGGGTTTTAAAGTTAGAAATAAATATAGTAATAGCATAAGTTTAGCAAAATCAATGTAAATTAGGTAAGAATAATATCATATATCTTTTTCGGGCTTTGAAGAACATCTTATGCAAGGTTCGTATTTCAGTCCATTACGGATTGTCCTTATGTAAATATTAAAATATCTATAGAAAAATCATTTGAATTGTTAGGCTATTTTTTAAGAGAAAAAAAGAGTTTGTGATAGTTTAAGAGAGTATAAGAATGTAATGGAGTGAAATAGGGAAGAAGAATGGTTTAAATACTATGAGAAAGAGCTCTAATGGTCAATTTGACTGTTGGAGCACCGTAGCACTGTTACCGATCGATAACAGTCGATTTTGATCGTTACCGAGCTGTGCCGGGCGGTAACGGTCAAAATTTCGATCGTTACCGCCCGATATTATCCCGTATCGTCCGATACGGGACGCTTTTAAACGTCTCGCTATTTTGACTGTTACCACCCGATATTATCCCGTATCGTCCGATACGGGGTGCTTTTAAACGTTCCTCCCGGCAGCGGGCGGTTCACGTACCGGTATGCTGTCGGACCGGTATGTACCGCCCGTACTGGGCGGTACCATTCGAAATTGCATACCTTGCTCACTAATCACTATAATATCTAGGATAGTGGTATTATCACTACATCAGGGATTTCTGTATGTGTTTGTTCTAAAAATTTATAAAGCAACCAAGTAACATTTGATTTGACAGATATGAGTTAACAAAAAACCACTTGAATGATTGAAGCTGTTGTTAGCTGTTTGGAATGTGCACTGTGCATAAGGTTACAAGTAAAAACAAAAAAATAAATTGCTGTTTATAGTGTTGCCGATTGATTCATGAGTTAAAAGGAAATTGAATGAACCATTCTTCATAGTTCTGATTGAATTTTTTAAAAGATGATTGGTAGTCAAGTGTTTTTGAAATGAGAACACTGGAAAAAATTATTTTTTAAGTAAAAATTGCAATTTGACCATTCATGAAGCATTGCTTTGTTTCCCACCCTTGAGATGCCCGTATGTAGCACATTACCAATTTTGTCAACCACCTCTTGTCAGCAAACTGCAGAACATGGGCATGAAGGCCCTAGGTTGTGTTTCAGATGCCATTGGAGCACATTTGGGTAAAGGAAACAATTGGAAGAAGGGAGAGGGGGGTGGGGGAGATCTCAGTAAGATGCATTCCTCCTTTTGATTCTTTTGCTATTTGATGTCATGTTTTTGATAAATCTCCGTGCTGTAGTGTTTCTTGTCTCTATTTTCCAATGGCCCTTTTTGGTGGTTAGTGACAGTTGCTAACTCATCTAATAGCAATAGAAGCAATTACAATGTCATGAAGTATGATAGAAATAAGAACTAATTGGGCTTATTTTCTTTTAAATTACTCTTATATCTCTCATTTTTAAGTCTGATTAAATTTAAGGCAATTTGTTCTGTAGGCCACGAGTAGGTGACTGGACAGGGTAACCTGCTTATTAGCCATCTCACATGTGTGGCACAGTGTCATGACAGAAACCATTATAAGCTTAACTGCAAAGTTGCTATATCACAAGTGGTGTATACATCAACAGTGTTTTTTTCGTATAGTAATCTGGCAGAAATGTAATAAATAGCCGCTACAGAGTGCACATTTGGAGTAGATATTGAGTTGGGTAGTCACAAGGGAGTTTTGGAGATGGTGCTGACAGTAGAATGAACGCACCATGACACTGGAATTGTTTGAGACTATAGCTACCTGGACATGACCAGGGACTAATTTTAAGTCCAAGATTTGTTATTAAGTAGGTCACAACAATATTAGATCAAGGTGGATCCTGATAGTCTTTTATTTTCATCTTTTTTACATCAAAATTTTTGAATCAATTGTGATACATCCTCTTTGGGTGTTTAGTAGAACTGCTTGCATTTTTTTGGTTTGCATCATGTGTTCTGTTTGTGTTTTTTTTCTATATTTGTTTGTCTAAAATTGAGCATTATGATGGGGCATACTTTGCTTAAATTTTTTGGTGCTAAAGATAATTGTATGAATAATTATAAGTAGAGTGGTATAATTTACCCGCATTGCCAATATGGTATTTTGATCCATGGTACTACCAGGTCACAGTTCTCAAGAACATCCTACTGCAACTTCTGGTAAATTCAGACCCAATATAAAGGTGGAACTTTCTTCCAATGGTGAGTTCAGATCCTATAAGTGTTCAATTTTCCTAAAAGAACTGCTCTATTCATCCATTTTCATGTTCTCGTAGTTTGTTTACCCTTTTATAACAATGGGTATCTGCTTTGTGAATTCCAGAGGATGGTTTCATGGATCATGAAAATGTTAATACTCTCAGGACAAACAGAAATTTGTATGCTGAAGGTGGTTCTCGACTAAATATGAATTGCCAGAATAACCCACAGCAGGCACAGCCATCCCAAAGCTTAAAAATGGAGTCTCATCAGTTTGATTCTTGGCATGGTCCTCCAGTCCACCCTACTGATGGAATTTGGTATAGAGGTGGGACAATAGGTGGTCCATACCAGCCAGCAGCTCCACGGGGTAGTTATCCTGTTGAGCCTTTTGTGTGCTGTCCGTTCCCGCCTAACTCTGAGGCTGTTTTAAGACCAGGAGCTGGACCAGCTAACTACTATCCTACCAATGGAGAGACATATCATCCCCAAATGCTTCCTAATTCATACATGTTTCCTAGTCATCCTATTGTTCCATCTGGACCTGGGCCTTACCAGGTTCCTCCCTATGATGGGTTTTATAATTATCGTCAAACAAGCATTTACAGTTCTGGTGGACAACAGTTCCCTTCAGCGGGTTTGGCTACTCAACCTAGTGTCTATAACCAACATTCTAATCGTAATGGAACTTTTAACTCAGGAGAGTCTCAGAACAGTCCTTGTGAAGATGGTTCAAAAACAACCAGGGAGCAGATGTTATCAGTTACAGCTCGTGTTCCTCATCAAGGAACCAACATGGTTTTGGTAAAACAACATGGTGACTTGGAAAGTAATCACCTGCAAGAAGAGCAATTCACTCCAGCAAATTTTGATGTGAAATGCAAACCAGGAATTTCCAACTCCAAGCAGAAGGGCGAGCACTCTACAGTTAGCAGAAAGAATGAAACTGATCAGCAAGCTCCATCCAAGCCAGCTAATAATTGTGAATGCCAAACTTCAACTCCAGTCATGACTAACTTACAAGAAAATCCATGCGGAACATCTAATGGCATACTGAAGAGAGAACCAGATACTGCAGTTCCAATGGTTCATGATCAGAAACATAATCCAGTCATAAAAAAGAATTCAGTGCTGATTGAAAAGATAGAAGGCTTAAATAACAAAGTTAGAAATGCTACTAGTTTCACTGAAATTGGACAGGTGCCATCTAGACAAGAGGGAGCAAAACAACCAAAGATCGTCAATGCCAAACCCGAATATTCTGCAGAAGTTAATGCTGCACATACTGAAAATGCTTCTACGTCCATCATTTCTGCTAAGCCTGTTTCTTTTGAGGAGAGTTCTTCAGATTTTCCTACACCAAGTACTACAGCAATGCCTGTTCCCTCTAAGTACAGCTCCTCAACTGTAGTTTGTAGCCCAAAGCTATCTGTTTACTCAGCAATTGTCTCTAGCCCAGCAGAATTACAAGATATTGATGTGGTGAAGCCTGATTATTGGGTACCTGATGAGGCAGCTTATTTTCATGTTCCAAATAGAATCCATGTTACACGAACTAGGGGTGATTATCATGCTATATCGAGATCAGATAGTCAAGTTGATACTGGATCCGCAAGAAAACCACCTGGTAGAGGTTCCTCTGCTGTTCCCAAGAAATTGGCTGTGGATGGCCCAGTCACAGGGATTCTTGATAATAATCCTTCTAAGGAGGCCATTTTGTCATTCTCATCAGATTCAATTGATCACAAGGTCCAGGTATGTAACTTTCCCATGGCTTGTGCAGGGTAATTGTTTGGAATGTAAAGAAGGGGATAACCATCTTATAACAACTATCATTTCTAAGTTGGATAGTTTTTCCATTTAATTGCCAAATGAAAGTTCATGTGTTGCCTCAAAGAAGATGTTTTTTTTCCTCCTCTTTTTTATTCCAACTGCGAGGTTTAGGCACCATAGAGAACATTCTCTTTCAAGCCTTTTAACATTTTTTTATTGTCACAATTTAACAATTCATATATGGATATCCACATGCATACATGAGATTTGCCTGCTTGAAGAGCAGCTGTCTTATTATGCTCTGTTTTATTAGAAAGCAGTTAATGCATATGGTTTTAAAAAGCACATTACTGTACTAAAATAAACTTTGCTTGTAGTAATCATCCTTGCAAGGAGGATATGTTCTTGGTCCTAATGGAATGAAACTCATTGTGATCAAGGTTGTAAGATTATCCTTGATATGCATGAATCTGATGGTAAATCAAGCTCAATTACTGTGTTGTTAAATTTTGTGAGAAAGAAGAAGCTTTATCATTTTTTTTTAAAACACTGTTGTTTATTTGAGCATTTTCATAACAAGTTTTACCTGATATAGGAAAGAAAAAGTGGTTAAAAAGAAACAACATTCTGAACTGCAGTTTCTGGTTAGATAGAGTCATGGATACTTTGTGCATGTTTTCCGGACAAGCGAAAATACATCTTGTTTTCAGTAAGTTGACTAGTTTGATTCCACTGGCGACTTGCAGTTTGTATGTTCATGTCTGGCTTGTTCGTAATGTATTTATTGCATGATTTTTGCAAAAGAAATCTATTGTAGCTTAAGCGCATTTAAATAAAAAGGACATCACATAGCATTTGTTATATAATAAATTTTAAATGCTGCATAGAATAATGTTATCTATGATGACAGTTTGGTTAAATCTGGATGAAAATGGAAAAGACGTGTCTTCCTCTTTCAATTATTTTTTGTTTCTTTGTGGTCTTAATTGTTTGGGTCAATGATATAGTCATTTTTTGGATTTTTTTTTTCTTTTAGCATGCTAAAGTGAAGGAGATAGCTGTTCAATGCGCAAAACAGCTGCAAAAGGAGGAAGAAAGGACGAGGGAACAAAAGGCAAAAGGTCTTGCAAATTTAGAAGAACCGAACAGATGCTTAGTGGCACAAAACATGAAACAAAAATTGAATTCCTTATCACGAAAAGGTAATGTGCAGCATCAAGAAGATTCTGGAGTTGATATTGCTTCTCAAACTAATGTTGTAACTAGTAACCCTCCGGGTGATATTGTGGGGAAGACTGAGACATTGGTACTGGCAACTGATAGTGGGAACAAAAAACATGGAACATTAGTTTCTTTGCACTTGAATTCTGCTTCAAGTACCCCAAGAGAAGTTTCCCAAGATTCTGCAATTTTTCATGGGCCGCCACTGGATCTGCAGCATGAGACAAAGACTACAGATGTTACAAACAAAAATTTTAGTACAGAGTCTCATGTTGGTGGTGTGTCTAAGCACAAGCAGATGGGCTACAGACGAAGGCAGAAAGTCCCACTGGAGAAAAGTTCAGATAAGAAGCCAATCATGGCGGAAAATATGGACTCGGAGTATCTAGATGAGGTTGTGCTTGAGAGAAGCTCAGAAAATTCTTCTGAGGGTAATACACCTGCACCAATTAATGATAAGTTGCTGAACAATGAGGATCCTTATCTTCAGTATAAGAAGAAAAGCAGTAGAAACCCAAGGAATAAGAACAAGGATGACATCTTGATGAGCTCTAGTTTAATTTCTTATGCACATTCTGATGAAAATGTTGAAGAACATTTATGTGAAAGTTCCCAGTCTCATTCCCCAGCATTGGTTGCAGAAACTTTATTTGTTCCTGCCCAAGTTGCTGCTGGAAATGCTGAAAGTCAAGACTCCAAGGATGGTATACATTCTCACCAAGTGTGTTCTAAAATTATTAGAGCTCATGGTAGGATGAGCAACCACTGGAAGCCTCATGCTCCCAGAAGACCAGCAAGAAACCAGCAAGTTCATAGGCCTATGGATAAGGTCCATGGAAGTGAGACTGTCATCTGGGCACCTATAAAGCCTCGAAACAAGAATGAAGAATATGAGGAAAGCAGCCAGAGTGGTATTATAGGAAGTGACCATCAGTCTTCAGAAAGGAATGAGCATGATATGAATGGTGCAAGAACAAAGAGGGCTGAAATGGAGCGATATGTTCCTAGACCAGTAGCCAAAGAACTATTGCAGCAAGAAAACACACAAAAATCTTCATCTGATGTTAATCAGTCAGGTGACATGCCTGAGAAGCCTTGCTTAGATTCTAAAGGTGCTGGGATGAGTAAATCGGATGGGTCATCAGGTAGGAGAACAGACATCATTGCTGATAAAAAGAACAGAGAGAATAAACGTACCAAACAAGGGATGGCACATGCCTCTTGGCGTCAGAGAAGTTCAACTGAATCAACTTTACCTTTACAGAGTTTGAATGAAAGCTTAAACTCTTCTGATGCTACTAAGCTTTTTGACAAGCCTTCTGATCAGCATCTTCAATTACCAGAACAATTTGGACCGGAGAGTAGCAGGAATTCTGTCTTAAAAGATTCAGTTGTCCTTCCTGTTGTGACTAAGGACCAAGGAAAGAAAAGCAGGGAAAGACATCAGCAAGTTCACAGAGTTGCAGGAAGCAATTATGTTGCTCTTGATCATGGCCATTTGCCGAGTGAAACAGATGATAGAAGTGGTGTCAATACTCCCATCTCAGATCTAAATGACACTGATGGAAGAACTTCTATGGCAGGTGATGGTAAGAATATAGGTGGTGAGCATATCAGAGCTCATAGTCACTGGAAACCAAAATCTCGGCCTTATTTTCGAAATCAAAAGCAGGAAAATAGGGACACTGGTGGACAAAGAATTTCTTGTCATAATGGTACGACTGAGAAATTCACTTCTCCAGGCTCCAAAACTGATCCTTCACGTGATGATGGTTCTCACGTGGTGATGGCTGCAGATAATGATGTACCTCCAGGAAATAGAAATGCTCAGCATGAAAGTAAGGTATCTCCTCCGCACCAACGTGGACACCACAATGGGCATTTTAACAGAGTGCAGGAAGCAATATATAAGGGTAAGGACTTGGCACAAGTTACTGGAAAATTAAATGCTCAGATAAATGAAGAAAGGCCAAAGAACAATGCACATCTTGAATATAAGCCAATTGGTTCTTCTAGTGAGCCAAGTGATTTATGCCAGTCAAACTTCAGTGTTGATCAAGGAGCACTGGTTCATCGTGTTTCCAAACAAAGGTACAGGGAACAAGTTCGGAGTCAAACAAGAAACCGTAGTCACTTCTTCAAGCAGAATACTGGTGCAACTGCTCTTGTTGGTGAAGAGTGAAACGTGTGATGGCTGCATAGTGGGTTTATAACCACTTTAATGTGCCCCAAAATTTTCCACCTATATGCTTGTCTGTAAGCAATATTTTAAAGCGATAAACTTCAGGTGTTTTGAGTGATATCCAGTCTTAGTCGATCCTATTCTTGTGAGCAGCATGCTGAAGGCTTGGTAAGTGACATGTGAATCAGAGTTCATAGGCACCAAGCATCCAGTTGGTTGTTCTTTCCCTGGATGCTTTATATGGTTGGTCTTGGTTTGGCGCCTAGTCTTTTGACATGGTTGGGAGTGCCATGAAGCTGGAGCAGGCTGTCTTACAATGAGATTGCATGGATCACCGGCGACTTGATTTTGGTTCTGCTACTTGTTGCCACTTCAAATCTCGTTGAGGTAAGGCGAATTCGTTTCCATGGGAAAGCCTGTTGTGGCCCTTAGTCACTTCTACTGTTAATTACTGTTCGTCCAATATGTGTGAACTTTTTGATGCTGAATTTTGTACAGCAATAGGCCTTTAGATTAAATGACTGGGTTGTGTTTCCTTGTTTTGTAATTTTTTTGCATTAGAGCTTTACCCAACGTTTTTTCTCCTGCTATGAATAGTTGGATTACTGATGCTAGTAAGGATCAAGTCTACTACTTGTTTTGAAGATTATCAATCAGAACTTTTGGTTGACGCACTTAGATACATGTGTTGCTTGTCATGCATATGGTGTGTGTGTGTGTGTTGGAAGAGAGTAGGTTAGTAATCCTAGTTCCGAAGAGAAGGAAGTATGATGAGAATAAGGAAACGAGAGTGGTCGTCGTATCTATGACTTGGTTGGTGTCACTTCATTTTCTTAGCTATGATTTATAGAATACAAAAGCTTTTACTTGAATTCTGAATCCTGTTATGACGGGGATTACCTGCTCGTACACAGGGGGTTTGGATGGTTAGATCGTGCAATGCACGTGATTAATTTTTCAAAGTCAACGGCTACTCTTTATTTTAGTAATTGAAGAAGGAATTTTGGTGATGCAATTGGGTCGAGATTTGTTACGTTTAGACGACTCGACTATTGGAATTAGTTGACTCCTATTTCAAAACTGAAGTCTTTCATTCTTCGATTGTTTTTATTCTTCTCTACTCTATTTCATGAATAGTCAGTCTGACCGCGCCTTCCAAAGAACCGCAACCCACTGAAAAATGTTATAAATATTAAATATTAAATATTAAATCGACTGAAAAATAAAAATTCATGAATGACTGAAAAATTAAATTCATACTCTATTCCATGAATACAATATTAAATATTAGATGTTAAATCGACTGAAAAATGAAAATGAAAATTATGTGTTAATGGGAAAAATACAAAATAAGAATAAAAAAAAAATGATGGGATAGAAATCGGAAAATTAAAATCGCTCGGAACAAATTGGATTTTGATTTCATTTACCGTAGGATTGGAATCATCGGTTATAACCATGGTCAAGCCAAGCAATTCACTTGGGTTAAGTTACTGTGCCTAGGAGTCATCAGATTTGGAATTTTCAGTAGGGATAACGAAAAGCCATACGACTCATTTATTACTAAGTATTGAGATTTTGAAATCTCATCTCATATATTTGGGAAGATATCAACAGAGTTGGTGGTAAACTCATGCGATCAAACCCATTATTCATCACCAAAAAGAAAATGATAAAATTGCATGCACAGCATACGAGAACTTTCCATCGATATTTGGTAAGCAATCTCCTTTGAGGATTTACGATTGTTCGTTTACCTCATAAAGTACTTATTTTCTCTTTTAATTCTTTTTTCTTTTGCACGCTAAATATTTATTGAATTATTTATAAAACTATCATCGAGTTGTCTGCTATTCGTTTTTGAACTAATCAATTCATTTTTTCACAGGTCTTTTTGGACTATAATATAATATTTTAAAATTTAATAATATTAAATAAAAATATTATAACATAATTTCATTATATTATAATATACTATAATTCCAAACTTCGGAAGGATTCATATTTAAACAAATAGGGCTAAAGACAAACCATCGTCGGGACTTTACTGGTCCGATTAAATCATCTGAAACTTTCAAGATTTTGAATGGGTAAATTGTTGTCGAGACAAATAAGTGAATAACATTTGAACTTTTGTTGTCCCCAACATCGTTATTGTTTAAATCAAATATCATATATCATGTTCAACATTTATGCAACTTCATTTTAGACATCAAAAGCCACAGACCTCGAATGCTACGCAGTACATCATGAGGTGAATCCATGATTACATTGAGGTACAACATATGTCTGATAGGTTATGTGCAGTATAAAATGGAGTCTAAAGCAATGTATACAATACCTATGCCCTACCGATGTTTTGAGGTTGGCTCGGTACGGTATGATACCGTGTACCGAGCGGTACGCTAGGACGTACTGAGTAGTACACCTAATTTAGGTATAAAATCATTCGAAAATAAAAAAAATTAGGATAAGATTTTTAAGTTAGAAATAAATATAATAATAGCATAACATTAAATTAGGTATCTTTTTCGGGCTTTGAAGAATATCTTGTGCAAGATTCGTATTTCAGTCCATTACGAATGTCCTTATGTAAACATAAGATAAGATTAGAAAATTTTTCCTCTTAATCTTTCCAAATTAGTTTTGATTCAATTCATCATTGTTTTGTTTAGTTTTGATTTAATTCATAAATCATTGTTTTGTAAAATTTAGAATATCACAAATGTGAGAAAAAAAAAAATTAAGGTAGTTTAAGAGAATATGAAAAATATAATGAAATGAAATAAAAGAAAAAAAGATATTTAAATATTATGAGAAAAAGACTCCAACGATCAAATTGATCTGATCGTTCAAATTGATCGTTGAAGCATTGTATCACTGTTATCGAACAATTTTAAATATTTCATTTTTAAATGTTCAGTAACGAACGGCCCGCACATCGATAACCGTCGGACCGATACTTATTGCCTGTATTGAACAGTACTATTCGAAATTACATACCATGATCTGGAGATCATAATTGACATTAATCACATTGCTCTTTTGCATGATCATGCAGTAAATTTAGGCAACTGGAATGCTGAACTTAAGAATAATCACAGTTTTCTAGTATTTTTGGATAATTGCTCTGAGAAACAAACTTCTACAACCTGAAATGAAACAGGAGGTATTAGTTCTCTTCAAAGCAATCAATTCAAAGAAACATTTCCCTTTTTCAGGAAAAGGTCACACATCCCTCGAGAAGCTAAAACCCTGTACACATACTGTTTAAAGTACTTGTGAAGCATCATACATACAACAATACAATCTTCCCTTCAACAAAATATGAAATAAGGTGAAAATACATGGATAATACAGCTGCCTTGATCTGAATTCGAGGCGTTGTTGACAGAGTGGTAGAAATGATTAGTTGTTGCAGTCTGGGGAAGCAGCTGGTGAAAAGAATGTAAGCAATCAGGCAGAGATAATCTTTTCCGAGATTACAGAATCTCAATTGGTTGAAGATGATCTGTTCCTTCTGCTGCTGTATTTGGAGTCTGGGTTGTCACTTTTATCTGTGTCAGAACTCTCCCTCTGGGAATCCATATCTATGCTTCCAGCACGGTTGCGTCGATGTCTCCGATTCTGCAGATTCCCAAGTACGTTTAACTAAAATGGTTCCATGTCATAACAAAAGTTTCATAACTAACATAAAGCAAATGCATTTCTAATCGATTAAAATTCATGCCAACATCCCTACAGATCATTGTGCATCTTGATCATGCAACCATACATCATCATTGTATACTACCGGAGACCAGAGTCCCGCACTACCACCACTGGATATAGCACCAACCAACTACGTAATAGGCACACTACAAGATTCAAGCACCAAAACGTAGCATGTTAATCTTTTTAACATCATGCCTAATTTGAGCTGTTTAAAATGTAGTCAGAAAGCAACATGTGTTAGCAGCCTTACTCAAATGTACTTGTAGTAAACAACCATGAGAACCTGTAGATTATACACAGGAATACTATGGCATTGTCCTGTAATATCTTTGATGCATGGAAATGCACAATACAGCATTTGTCTCCTTTCAACAAAACTGCCATGGTCTTAGTTTTGCTTTTTCCGTTTTGAAACTACTTTAATGCCTTTTAAGAATGAGAGGTCCAAAAATATAATCACAATCGGGTCTCAAACCATCAGACCTTAATCAAAGAGTGCTGTTAAATTCTCTTTCAGTAAAATGATATTTACAATATACAAAGGTCATTCTTCTGAAAATGTGCTTAGTCACACAAACCTTGTGGCAAGAGGTTTACATTTCCACTTATTTTATCACATTGCATAGATAATTACACTAAAAGCCACGATTTTGCTTCGCAAATGGTAAAAACTAAATCAAACATAAAGCCGACATAATCATACCTCACGAGGTATTGGCTCATCAGAATCCAGCATTCGGACAACCTGACCCATCTTAGGTCTTTTCTCCGAATCAGGATCAACACACCTCAAAGCTGTCAAAAGGGCACGTTTAAGTGCTCTTGTAGATGGTCTTGTCTCTATACTTGGATCCACTACTTCTTCTGAACGCCTACTCCCAACCATCATTTTGAGCCAGTCAACTAGATTTACCTGCAATAACAATAAGCATAACTTGAAGTGAAAAGTGCACAGTGAAAATAATGCCATGCATAAATGTTTGCGTTACCAATGCACATTTTTTTAAATGTGGTTCTTCCAATCAACCATTACATAATATGTGTATACGACGCTACACGATTTGAACTCTTGACCTCTTTAATTGCACACACTACACCTTATCCATCAGAAAATCTCCTTGAGATCCAATGCAAGCATAAAAGTATGAGCATGATACTTTTGCTATGGGTCTTAAATTTGGGTGCACAACTAAAGGAGGATATCGTAGGAAAAGCTTGAACTTCCATATTATGAATCAGTGCACTGGAAGAACTTGGTCATATTACAGAAGGCTAAAAATCAATTCACGTATCCCTTGTTCAACAGGGTCTAATGATAGTTCAACCTATCCATTCATCTTCTTAGAAAATAGTCAAAAAATTAGACATAATATCAGTCAAATTTAAACAAGACCAGCAAGTGTAGAAAAGATGAACAATTTTTGCGAAAAAAAATTATAAAAACACGTCTAGCACAACTGATTTTAAATAGAAGTGACAAAGGAAAGTTTGATAAATACAAAAAGAATTCAATGACTATTATTGATTAAGTGAAATAGCTGTCACATCCAGACATTAAAATTGAAGCAATTAGGTAGGCAAATCAGATTGATAGAGCCCAATGAATGCAGATAACTGAAATGATCAATGAGTAAACTATCAGCAGTCTGCAGAACACGTGGAGTTAACCCATCTTAACTTGTTCGTAATGACTAAACATGATTGAAATGACCAGTCGCCCATAAATACCTCATTTGCGGGGCGCCCATAATCTACAGGATCTCTCCCTGTAATTGCTTCTAGAAGAACAACACCGAAACTGTATACATCGCTCTTTTCATTTAGCAGTCCGGTGTTTGCATATTCTGGCGCCACATAACTGCAAATAGGAGAATCCATAAGGCTAAGCCATGAAAATGAATAATTTGGTGGTTTTAACAGTGAAGAATAC